ATTTGTCTTGTATAGTTGGGGGTGTTTGTATTTGGTGCATATATATTTATGATTGTGTTCTCTTCCTCTTGGATTGTTCCCTTCACAAGGATGTAGTGACCATCTTTGTTTCTCTTAGTTTTGACTTGAAATCTACTTTGTCTTCAAATAAGATTGCTACCTTTTTTCTAGGTTCCTGTCATGTGGAGAACTGTTTTCCATCCTTTTACTTTCAGTCTATGATTTTCCTTTTTTTGTTTGTTTTTTTTTTTGGTACCGGGGATCGAACTCAGGACCTTGTGCTTGTGAGGCAGGCGGTGGAACCACTGAGCTAAATCCCCAGCTTCTATGAATTTCCTTTTGAGTTAGGTGTGTTTCTTGTATACAGCATATTGTTGGATTTTGCTTCTTGATCCATTCTGCCAGTTTATTTCTTTTGATTGGTGAATTGAGGCCATTAACATTGATGGTTATAATTGATATTGATTCATCCTTGTCATGATGTTTTACTGTTGTTGGCTCTTTTTAAAATTTTTTATTTTTCCCCCCTTCCTTTAGTTTCTTGCCTTGCCTGGTGGCTTCCCTCTGTTGGGCCTCATGGAGTTGTGACCTTCATTGTCTTTTTCTAGGATATTGTTTAGAATTGTTTGGAGTGGTGGTTTGGTGTTCATGAAATTTCTCAGGTGTTCTTTGTCGTGGAACTATCTAATTTCCCCATCGATTTTGAAAGATAATTTTGCAGGATACAACAGTCTAGGTTGGAAGTTATTTTTTTTAGGGCTTGAAATACTTCACTCCAGGCTCTCCTTGACTTGAGGGTTTGTGTTGAGAAGTCTGCTATGATTCTGATGGGCTTTCCTTTGTAGGTAATTTGTTTCTTTTCTCTAACTGCTTGTAGGATTTTGTTCTTCTGTTGGGTTTCTGGGATCTTGACTATTATATGTCTAGGTGTAGATTTTTTTTTGATCGTGGCTAGTTGGAGTTCTATATGCCTTGCTTATCTGTATGTCCAATTCTCTACCTCTGTCTGGGAAGTTTTCTACCATTACTTCCATGAACAGTTTTTTTTATGTCAATTGTACTTTCTCCTGCTTTTTTGTGGACTCCTATTAGTCTTATGCTTTTTCTTTGTATCATTTAGCAGTTGCTGGATTGATTTCTCATGGTCCCTTACTATTTTTAAGAAATCTGTTTTCATGGTCATGAACCATAATCCTTCTATATCTGATATTCTATCTTCACATACCCTTAATCTGCTGTGCATACTTTCAATGGAGTTTTTAATGTCCTGGATATCTGTTTGAATCTGTTTCATGGATTCCATTTCTTTCTTACGTTGGGTGATCATGGTTTCCATTTCTTTCTTATGCTGGGCATTCATGGCTTCCAGCATGTTTCTGAGCTCATCTATTTTTTAAAATCTGTTTCTGTTCTAGAGCCTCTAATCATGTCTTTCACACTGCTCACCATCTCTGTAGTTATCTGGGAAATTATTTCTGTTTTGAATTTTTCTAGAGCCTCATTCATCTGTTTTGTTACTTCCGGTCCTATCAGTTCAGGGTGTCCAGGTGGTTGATTATCAGACTTTTCCACCTCATTTTCCCCAGAATTTGCCTTTGCTGGGGTGGAAGTCTGAGTTTGTGCCTTGCTTAAATGTCTTCTCATTTTTGTTTTTGGTATAGTCCTTGGTTTAATTCCTGGGTTGATACTTCAAAATTGCTTATTGTAAGTATCTTTGTTGCTTGTATCTAGAACTCTTATGGAATGACTGCTTCTCAGAGGTGTCTTCCAGATATAGCTGGTCTTTAGGTTTTGAGTCTCTAATGGCTCTGAGGCTATCTCATTTTCATTACACCAGGAAGGACAACTGATTAGATAAATCACAACACCTTAGCACAAGGGATACAATCAGCAACACCATAGCATCAAGCACAGCTTAGAAAATGACAATTTATGGTAGTTATTAATCTATCACCTTTACCTGTGTGAATTAAATCAAAATCGAGGACCAGCCCAACATATGTTTATAGTGAATAAACCCTTCAATATAGAATTTTACCCTTTGGGATGGGGAGTTAGAAAAAGTTGGGGAGGGAGGGATAGATAGGTAGAAGGATAGGGAAAGGTTAGCAGTGAGGCGAGAGGACACAGGAAGATTACACAAACTCTAAGAAACTGAAGACAGGAGGAAAAGACAGACTGAAAGAACAAAGATGAGAAGAGAACAACCTAACAGCCATAGGGAGGCTAGAAACTATTTACTTTCCTTTAAAACTAATGACTATTGAGAGAAGGAAAAAAAGAAAAGAAAAATAAAGAAGAAATCTGAACTAGGGCAGAACAGGAACAAAATGGGAGATGAAGAACAATATGGGACAGTGAGAGAATAAGTGAGAGAGAGAGAGAGAAAGAAAAGAGAAAATAAAGAAAAAAAGAAGAGAAAAATAAAAATTTGAAGGAGTTGAAAAAAAATTTAAAAATAAGAGCAAAAAAAATTTTTTGAAAGTAACTAATAGAAAATAAAAATGAAGGGCCTCCTTCAGGATAGGTCTCTGCTATCCACAGTAGAAAACGTGGGGCAGCAATGTGCAGATATGACAATGAGTCTCAGCAAGCCAGTAGCAGACCTGTGAGATGCAGGCAGATTTCTGGCTTCAAGTCCCAAGTTGAGTTCCCTGTCCTCCAGCAGGGTTGAACTCTGCAAGGTTCTACGGCAGGTTCCACCTGCCCTACCCCTGAAGATAGTCCAGGTTCTGATGGGAGGTGATGATCTTTCCAACTTACCATGTACGGTGGTCTGGTTTGCTTTTTTTTGGTACTGGGGATCGAACTTGGGTCCTTGCACTTGCACAGCAGGCGGCAAAACCACTGAACTAAATCCCCAGCCCTGGTATGCTTTTATTGCAGAGATTCTCTTCACTTTTCCAGTGGGCTTCAGTTTTCATCTAGACCCTCTTTCTGTAGTTCACTTCTGCTCTATCTTCTGGAGCTCAGGACAATGGCCTTTATGACCCCCTGTGCCTCTGTAGTGTGGAACCAGGTAGGGGGCAGGGGAAGGGGCTGCAGGTGCTAAGGTGGTAGCTGGTAGCTAGTGGGCGGGGAGCGAGGAAGGTTCCTGGCTCCATGAGGCCAAGGTCCTCACCATCCCCTGGCTGGTCTGTTGGGTTTTGAGATAAGGTCTCACTATGTAGGGTGTGAATACATCTGAACCTTAACAGTATCAGGAAGACATTGATCAAGAAAATAAGTATTGTCGCTACAGTATTTTTCTCATGGAATTTAGGTATTTTCCCTCCTTATTCTACCCATTGAATTGGCACATAAAATTTTACATTCTTAAAGATCTCTTCCTAAGGCCAGACTAGCTTTGATAATTTAAAATATAGGATACACAAATAGGAGTGTAGCTCAGTGGTACAATGACTGGCTTGCATGTGTGAAGCCCAGGGTTCAGTATCTAGCTCCAAAACAAATAATAAGAAAACAAAAACACCATCAAATCCCAAAATACATAGTATGCGAATTGCCTGTGTGTGTGTGTGTGTGTACGTGTGTGTATGCAGTATCTGGGACTGAACTCAGGGCCTTTGTACTGAGCTACGCCCTCAGCCCTTTTTTCAGATAGGGTCTCCTTAAGTTGCTAAATTGGCCAGGCTGGGCTGGAATTTATAATCTTCTTCCCTCAATTTCGCAGAGTGTTAGGATTAGAGGAATGCACCACCATACCCAGATAAATTGGCTTGATTTTAATAACTTGGCCTTTTCAGGTTTTTTATTAGACAGGGTCTCACTGTGTAGCCCAGGCTAGCCTCGAACTTGCACTCATCCTCTTGTCTCTGCCTCCTGAGTTCTGGGATTACCGGTGTGAGCCACCCTAATCTGTCTCTTTAAAAAAGTAAAATGTTATTTTCTTACTTTTTTCCTATTCTGGAGCTTCATATGAATTGTGAAAAGAACAAGCAAAGGACTCCAAGAATGCCAGCATAGTATATACTTTAAGAGACCAACACAAGCAGCTATTATTCTTTTTCTTTTTGCACCAGGGATTGAACTCCGGTCCTTGCGCTTGTGCAGCAGGTAGCGAAACCACTGAGCTAAATCCCCAGCCCCAAGCAGCTATTATTCTGCCTCATCAGTGAAAGAGTACTACAGTGCATTATTTGAAATTAAATCCAAATATTCTACCTTTTTAACACAGGTACAGCTACCAGGAGAGTTAAACATCACTTATCATCTGTATTTCTTTACTCCTGGTGAGAATATTTGCAAATCACAATGGCACTTCTAGAACCCTTACAGAGAAAGGCAATTCCCTAAAAAGTAAATCCTTTCCTTGAGGTGGAATATGGAAGCCCTGGATAAGACCAAATGCAGACCTTACCTCTTTTAGGCTAAGCTTTTCAAACACACTCGGTTCCACCTTTAACCATGCGACTATCCGAAACTGAGGCAGAATATTCAACTACTTACTTTCCACTCTTCATACCCTAAAGGAAGGGGGATCCTCTGAAAAAGGTCCCAAAGATAAGCTGCTTGTTCCAATTTCTGACAGAAGTGGTAGAGATAAAGAGCCATTTTTTTGTACTAGCTTTTGGGAATCTTCAAATATTTCTGGCAAACTAAATCTAGGCTAGTGAATCCAAGGCTCAATAAAAATCCTAAGCAGTCTCTTAAAGTTTGTGAATCAGACCAGCAGCTAAAAGAAACTAAAGAAACAACAGGACTATTTTGTGAGCTACCAAAATTAAAACAGGCAGGCACTCTCCTATTTAGGGTTAGTCAACTCCTAAATGTTTTGTGACTAAGTTCTAGTAGTCATAAGCAAAGAGATATCTTCCCAAAATAACACGATTTTTCATGAATGATAGATATTACCTTGATCTTTTAGATATTTAAAAAACACAAGGTTTTGCTGCCTGCTGCTCAAGTGCAAGGACCCAAGTTTGATCCCCGGTACCAAAAAAACCAAAAAAACAAAACCAAAAACAAAACAAACAAACAAACAAAAAACACAAGGTAACTGTTTTCTATTTGATTTCTTTATTGAATTGTATTGCATTAACAGTCACACTTCTAACTTGGTTTTTCCTAAAGTAGTTAGGATATCCTGATTACAAGTATAATATGGATAGCTGTGTTGTCATTACCAAAACAAACAAAATCAAGTGTTTTGTATTTTCTAGCAATATGATTATTTTAAAAGAAAGTTCAGTTATTGTGACATGTTGATTAATGCACACGTAAATGGTTAGAACTGGGGGCATATAGTGTTTATTTTCCCCCCAGTGCATTATACCTCTACAGAAGAAATGGTCTAGTGATTTGCTTAAGACCACACAGCTACAAACAGAAAAAATATTGTACTGGGACTTATCTTGGAACTGTTTTTAGTTTGGAACTAAATAAACAAGACAGCTCTGCTTTATCAGGACAGTATCTTGTTTTGTGTAAAACTCCTGGAAAGAGACATTCTTCAGAAGCCCATTCCCCTTTTGGTACTGGGGATTGAAATCAGGACCTTGCTCTTGGGAGGCAGGCGCGGTGCCACTGAGCTAAATCCCCAGCCCCCACTCCCCTTTCTTATCTGTCACATGCAAACAACACTAGAGAGGATATTTTTTGAAATATTTGTCAGTATACTTTATCCAAGTCCTTATCTATGCCAGATTCAAAATCTTTTTCCCTGCCACAGAGTTTTAAAATCAAACCAAACTAAAGCTGAAAACAACCAAAAATGGTCTTGAAAGGCTAGAGGTGGAGCTCAATGGTATAGCATGTGCTTAATATGCACAAAGCCCTGGGTTTAATGCCTAGCACCAGAGGATAAAAACACAACAACAAAAAAACCAAAACAAGAAACTCCCATAAATGTTGGTCTGGGGAGATTATGAAGTCTCCTTTAAGGGATCACAAGGTGCTAGGTTAGTCAGAGCCTTCGGTATTTGAGAAATCTAAACTGTTACACACATCCCAGGGCAGTCACCAATGCCTTCATATATTTAAACTTTGAAGTTTAATCAGATTTCACACAGGTGGAAAGCTTGTCTCTTTCTGTATGTGTACATTTGTTCTTCCTCTTTATTCCAATCTTTAGCCCTACAAAGTCTACACCTAGTTTGACAGCTAGTAAATTTTATAGCTGGAATGTAGGGAGATAAATATAAAACAAATCTAACTTATGTTGGAAATATTTAGGCAGCAAGAGGTCCACAGGATTCTGAACAAAAACAGAGTATTCAGAAGATGTTCTTCTGAGTATGAGGGTTCAATTTAGTGAGGACCCAAAGAGTGGAGGGGGGAAAAAAGGCACGTGTCAGTTTGAAAGTCACAGTTTTTATCATTCTCTAATTAGATAAGGAGAAAAAAATGAACTCTTGGGTAGCAGAAAGAAGCAAGAGTCTTTGAGAGTCTGGCATCTGCAAAGAAATAAGGGGAAAAGAGACAGTTCTTAGTGCCTTTCAATGACAAAAGCATCAACTACATTTGACAATAGGCCATACAACTATAATCTAATTAAATTCTCTTGATTTGCAGGAGGCATCTGGTATTAACAGCAGAATAGCAAGTGTGGACTTTCTGATCCTTAGCTTTAGTACCACTGTGCACAGAGAAACTTGCTAATTGTATTAAAGACATTCATGTACACTTCTATGTCAACAGTTTCACAACTGAGGAGAACAGCAGAACTGACTCTCTAGGAAAGTGGCTCCTTCAGATAATTCTGGATTAATTCCAATTAACTTACACTGATCTTTTTTTTTTTTTGGTACCGGGGATCGAACTCGGGTCCTTGCGCTTGCGTAGCAGGCATTGAAACCACTGAGCTAAATCCCCGGCCCTACACTGATCTTTTTCTCCTCTTTTTTACTCTATTTACTCATTAATACAATATTTTTGAGGTGTTACAATGAACGTTAGAGAATAAAAATTAATATAGTTTGACTTGTTTCTGTGGCACTTGTCTATTAAAAAGAGTTATTGTGCCGGGGATTTAGCTCAGTGGGACCACACTGGCCTCAAAAGCGCAAGGTCCTGAGTTTGATCCCCAGAACCAAAACACAAAAACAAAAACAAATGGGATAAAGTGCATTAAGTACTAAGGGAACAAAGCATTCTTGTATACTGTATGTATACTTAAAAAACTACACTCATGGGGCAGGGATTTAGCTCAGTGGTTCCACTGCCTGCCTCAAAAGCACAGGGTCCCGAGTTCAATCCCCTGTACCAAAAAACAAAACAAAACAAAACAAACTACACTCATAAATTCCTTATGGGAATGAATCATGTCTTCTATTTCTTCTGTATCCCTCCAAAGAAGCTAGAGAATTCTGTAATAGGAATTCAAAAATGATGCATCATTTTTATTGAGGATAAAAAGGTCTGTGGCTGTTTAAGGATTCTTATCTAACTTAGGATAATTTTCTTTTTCTGATTCCTCAAGGGCTACACAGAAAAATAAATTTTCAGTGTGAAAGTAAACAGTGAAGAGTTAAAATTTTAGATATGTCTGGTCTTTTTTTTTTTTTTAACTTTTAAATTGCACTTTATTTTCAATCCTTTATATCACCACAAATAAGAAAATCTTGATTATGACAATTAATGATCTTGCTAAAATGAAGACAATCATACATTTTACTCAATAAATAAATAATAAATCATGTCTTATTTATCTGAACATCACCACCCTCAACAAAACACCCAGACATGCATGGGTAATTAAATTCAGACATACTTAGTACTTTCCTATTTTCAGTCATATAAAACTGTAACTTTACACATACAGTTCAATTTACATAATAAGGCATTGTATTTGTCATGATAAGAAAGTCAAACCTGTTTCATTTCACAGATTTAACAGGTCAAGAAGCCCATGCATGTCACCTTCTGCTCCAGCCTACCATTTCAGGAGGGGTTCTACAGGTGACTGATGAGGCTCCAATGGGTTTTTAGGTTCTCGGTTCCCTACTGTCTAGACAACACAGATCGCGTTACCAAACACACATTCTGAGCTCCTGGTGTGTGGAGTGGCTCTGGATGGAGGAGCCCTGGTCTGATGGTTGAGACAGACACACCAACAAGATGTGTGCACAAAGGCAGCAAGGACCAGGTGAAGGATTAAAGCCTTGTTGGTGGGTCACAGGTGGCTCCCAGCCTCACCCCCATGTGGCACAGGATGGCCGCACTTGAAGCAAGCAAGCTCTTTCTGGGGAACTGTCAGCCCTTCTCTGTCTCCAGTGAGGGTACAGAACTTCTAGACTGCTTCCTCCCTGTGGCCACCATTCCATGTCTTCCCCTCACTCCTGGGGTCTACAGGTTCCTCAGCCTCAGGGTGGGGCACAGCCTTGCAGTGGACTGAGGATTAAACAGGCCGAGGGGAGGCTTGCACCCACCCATCTGAGCAGAGAAGCCTTATACAGCAGCTCTCCCTGAGTGATGGCTAGATGAACTAGTGAGGAATCAGCAGTAACTGCTGTTCCAGCTCTAGACATGTCTGGTCTTAAGAGTTATAGAGACAAAAGTCTCTCCAAGGTTTTAATCTTAAAAGTTACTATTTTTACTAGCTAGCAGAGGAACTCAAAGTCAATCTCTCTCTCTCCTCTCTCTCTCATCTTGAGCTCACTATGTGGCCCAGGCTGACATCAAACCTATGGCAATCCTACTCCCTCAGCCTCCCACGTGCTGGGATTATAGATGTGTGCCACCACATTCGGCTCATGCTTTTGGCATCTCATTCACACTTCTCAGCAAAAGAAACATTAGTTTTAGGTACAAAATGAAGCCTAATAAATTCATCTGCTTCACTGTCCAGAAAAAGTGAGACTGGAAAGGAACAGGCCAGTTATTTATTTTCAGGCTGAGGCAGGAGGATCATACTGCATTCAAGGGCAGCCTGGGCTACATAGTTTTTTGGTTTTTGCTTGAGATAGGGTCTTGCTATATATATAGTTCAGGCTGGCCTTGAACCCACTATGTAGTCCAGGCTGGCCTTAAACTCAGAGTGATCTATCTGCTTCAGCCTCCCAAATGTTGGGATATCAGGCATGTACCATCACACTTGGCAGCCTGGGCTACAGAGTAAAATTCAAGGCCAACCTGAACTACAATAGTGAGACCCTGTCTCAAACAACCAACCAACTAACCAAACAAAGTTCCATTAAACACAGTCACTAAGGCCTACTATCGGCAAGACAGTTGGGATGTAATGACATTGCTTGCCTTTGTTAACACTCCCTTTACCAAGAGCAATGTGGCTGGGCAACCTCACCTGAGGAAGCATCTGAACTATCAAACTTGGCTCTGCCAGGGGTATATAAGGGAACTTAAAAAAGGGTTCATCTGTGAAAAGTAAAAGATTTTGGTCTCTTCACATAGGCTTTTGTGAGGTTCTGCTAACTCAGATGAGATGAACAATGCAAGACTCTTAGAGACCCAAAACTTTTAAGTGCTCATTAAAGAGAGTACAAATTTTTTGATGAGGATTAAACTATACTGCACAGGGAATGAATTGCAGAGCAGTGAAGCACAGCTGTCTGATTAATCTCAGGCCATTAAAAGAGGCATGATAGATCTAGAATGCAACTTTGAAAAAAAATGGCAATGTGTACTAATGTTAGGGAAAACAACTTAGCATGTTAACAGAATTCTAATTTAACCAGTAAATGCCTATTCATTAGTGTGCAAAGCTGTAACAGAGGCTACATTCTTAAAAAACACATGCACACACAAAGCTTTAATTTGGTACCATAATCTGAAAGAAAATTAGACTCAAATTGCTTTGTGTCCAGTTAAATCTTGTAATCATCTGAAGATATAGTGATATAAAACTGAAATACTTACTTAAGATACTCAGTTACTGTGCATTTCCATCTATGAGTAAAAATATTTCAAAATAAATACACCATGTCAACTGAAATCTACTCCATCCTCTATGTTTACTAAACATAAATAACTTATTCCTGAGATATACTGAATAATAATATAAAAGTAGAAGAATTTAAATTGGCAATCAGATTCCATTTAAGAGCATAGGAAAAGAACAGTCCTTTAGCCTTTTGGTATACATTTTGGTAATCTCCTTTTTTGGGGGGAAATGCAAGTATCCAAAGGGAGATATTTTAAAAGGAACCTCTGGCCACTTAAAAATTATTTCAAATAGTAGCAAAGGATGAAATCAAGGGAATCTGAATATAGGAGCAACTTTAGAAAATGTAAACTTGTTTGCTTTTTTTTTTTTTTTTTTGGTACGGGGGATCGAACTCGGGACCTTGCGCTTGCGAGGCAGGCGCTGGAACGACTCAGCTAAATCCCTGACCCTTGTAAACTTGTATTAAATAAAAATTACATCATCTTTGAATGTGGAAGTTCCTTTATCAGGGTATCAAATTTCCCCACAAGGTCAACATTGAACCTAACCATTGAATTTGATTCAGTTCTCATCCAATTTGTCTGGCAACCAGGATTGTGGAAAGAATTAAGTTTGTGAACCAAAGTATCCTGTATTTTGATATGAATTTAGTAGCTGTATATTCAGCATGGCCTAGGATGTCTAGGGAAGACAACTGAATACAATTCTTACGCTGGTTCTTATGACTCATTATATTTTTTCTCTTTATTCATTTCCTTTTAGGCCCCTGCAATACAATTGGTGATCCCAATTCCCTTTTGATATTATGCCTGAAAAATGAGGGACGACTTCATCTCAGCCCAAATTAATAGCCTTTTTTTTTTTTTTGGTACTGGGGATTGAACTCGGGACCTTGCTCTTGCAAGGCAGGCAGCAGAACCACTGAGCTAAATCCCCGGCCCTAAAAGACTTTTTATTGGTCCCCAAATTTATTCTTGGTACTTGATAATATCAGTGGTTATCTCATCTTGAAAATATTCTCCTAGTTCCTTTGCTCTTGTACTTTAGTGTTCATAATTTTTTGTTTCTAACCAGGGTCAGATATAGAGAGAAGTGAGACACCTAAGATGTAAAATTTAAGAAAGTATTTACCTTCATGGTAATGTAATTGCAAGGTGTTCAGAGAGAACACATCAGAATAATCAAGTGCAACTTTTTTTTTTTTCCACAATGAAGGGAATAAAAAAAAGCATTTTTGCCTCTATTTCACTTACTATTACTATGTTTTTTTTTTTTTTTTGGTACCGGGGATCAAACTCTGGTCCTTGCGCTCGCACAGCAGATGGTGAAACCACTGAGCTAAGTCCCCGGCCCTATTTCACTTACTGTTTTTCCATGGCAGAATATAGGGCAGAGACTTGGGAACTCGCATGGTTGAAGCCAGGTTGCTCTTATGTTCCATAACTATGTTGCTAGCAGGACTGCAAAAAAAGAAATTAACTATGTCAGCATTATCTGTATTCTTCGGGCAGGTACATGTGAGAAAATAAAAATATATTTTTTAATCAAAATGTTTTTTGTAATTTGAGTGAAAACAAAAATATACATTCATGTGAAAGAAACGTAAACACATTTCCCTCAAAACATTCTTGTAATTAGAATGATTACCACTTCTCTAGAAAGTTCTGTTTTATACAGGGATTAAGATGAGTCTAACCATTTTCATTTTCCAGAAATTGAGATAAACAGCAATCCCATCTACAGTTCAATAGTATGACACCTCATCAACTCACTTAGTAAATGTAAGAGATAAACTAAAATGCCATTCATTCTAACCAAAGGCAGGAAATCTCAAAACACTGAGGTAAAATTAAAATTGTAACCAATGGAATAATCTTTAAGTTTTTGTCTTAAAACGCACATAAAATAGTGTGTACTTAAAATTATTAACTGATCTTAAGAGACTAATATATACAAATCAATATGCACTCTATCTGGGGAAATAATGAAGTCTACATCGTATTCATTTTCTAATACGGAAATAATCTCATCTGGATTTTAAACTTGATCTTCTAAGATCTGAGTGTTAGTAATGAGGAATTTTATAGTTTTAAATTCGATACAAAAATTAGTGGGAAGAGATAATTTTTTTCCCTACCCAATGGGTAACTCTGGATTTTCTAATGTCAAATAAAAAAAATTTTTTTTGCATTAATTTCTTTTGAGACAAGGTGTTGCTATGTAGTTCAGGCTGGCCTTGAACTCACTGTGTAGGCCAGGATGGCCTTGAACATGTAACAATCCTCTTGCCTCAGCCTCCCGAGTGCTGGGATTACAGGTGTGCACCACTACACCCAGCCTTGGAAAAAATTTTCAAAGTATTAAAATAATGTAAACTTAGCAAAAAAAATCCAATTAATACACAGGAATGTCTGGGACCACTGTCTTCTTGTTAAGACTCTAAGGAAGTATTTTTATATTCCCAGTGATTAGCACAAAGCACATGCCCTTTCTATGAATCGAGGAATAAGGAAAAACTCCACCCAAACAAGGATAAGCAATCACCAAAGAACACCATCAAGGAAAGACAGTGGCTTTTTTACTCTTGGTAACAGAACACTATGATTTGGGGAGGGAGTGCTGAGAATGAGTCCATTTTATTTACCTGTTGTTGCCACAGAAGCTGGATGTGCCCCAGACAAATGGGGTGCTAGTTTGTTCCCACAAATCTACCAAAGGAAGCAAAACATAGTTTGTGATACTACTAGATAAGATACCAGTTCATGCTAGTCGAATTTGCAAGATGGAAATTAATACACCAAAGTTAGGAGATGAAAGTAAAAATCAATCAAGTACTTTCCCTAAGTGACACAGAAACAGGAATTTAATTGAAGAATAAAAACACAAGCTACATAAATAATAATAAACGTACCTAGTAACAATCAAACACAGATGGTACAACACAATTCATGGGAAAAAAACAGATGTAAAGAAGTGCCTTTTCCAATTAAGAAGGAAAGTCTGTTCTACATGTCTGCACAGTGATACAAATGTGCTCATTTTGGAGCCCAATAAAAATAATAATGCATTCGAACAACACGGTATGTTCATAAAAAAGGAAAATCTTTCTTCTGTTTTAAGCAAATGACTTGAGATTTAGACATGGTGAAGAGAAAAGTGTCCCACCTTTGTCCCAATCTTCATCGCAAGGGGGACACTGCCATGTGCTCTCAGCCAGAGTGTCTTGTCCAAGGTTTCTGGACTGGTTGACTGCAAGACAATACAGATTCGACATAAGAATGAGATACTGCCAAGTTATTGTGTTTAAAGAAGTCAGGAGTGCAGGGTGTAGAGGTGCATGCCTGTAATCCCAGTACTTGCGAGGCTAAAGCAGGAAGACTGCTGTGGGTTTGAAGCCAGCCTGGGCTACATAGTGAATTCAAGGACAGCCTGAACTACATAGTGAGACCAAAAAAAAAGGAGTTAGTAATTTAAAAGGAGGTTGCAGGATAGCCTAATTGGTCTTTGTTTCTAAAACATGGCTAGTATGAAAGCTAAACAGAGGGGTCTTATCTTTGCTGACAGAAAATAAGAAACAGAAAACAAAGACATTTACCATGTTTCTGGCAGTAAGATTTTATTTTTAGATTAGTAAAATGCATCAGGCTGTTCAGAAGAGACAGTCTGACACATAAACAACTAGGCAACCTTTTGCTGCTATGAAACAAAAATCTGAAAAGCAGAAAAAAAACTTTTCTTCTGAAATGATGAAAGCCAAAAATCAAGTTGACAATGTAGCATAACACAAATCTGAATGAGCTAACCTATATTATTGAAACATTTTACTAGTCAGGCTTACCCACGTCCTGCTCAATGCAACTCTTGTCATCACAGCTTGAGATATGGCGACTGATTTCCGCCCGAGGAACCTGGTGGCGAGCATTGAAGGGACAAGTAGCCAATTTGTTTGCGACATCAGGATGATTCTGTGAAACCAAAATTAAGGGACTTGTCAGTTCTTTGGAACTCTAAATCCAAGGGGAGTGGCTCAGCCTTATTCTATAAATGGTTTCCCTAAAATTCCTCAATAAACCTAACTATGGTAGGCAAATTTCATAGAAAATTTAGAGGGAATGATTTATAGGTCATTCAGACGTTACTTCAAAACCATTAAAGGTACACCTATTTGTTACAATTATACAGACAGACGATGTAGATACTAGAATTTAAGTGCCTTACACAGAGCTAAACAGTAAAAATGAACCATTTCTTTTCTCTGTTTATTTCCCAGTCACAAGATTCAGGTGGCACAGCCTGTAATGGTAGAGCTCTCTGAAAGCTGATATTCAGGATAAATAATAACACTAAACATACTCAGTCTGCATTGCAGTAGTGCCCTTCTATTGCAATACAGTAGTCTGGAAAATATCTGTTTTAAAGGAGCTGCAGAAGAGACAAACCAATGATTTTCCAGATTAACACAGGACACTTATTTGAAGTAATGATGCCTGAAATGAGGCTCTGAACAATTTGACCTTTACTTCAGCTATTTCACTACAGAAAAACCCAAAACATAGAGACTGCTTTGTTGACTGAGTTACTTGTTTTAAAGGAAAAAAAAGTTCATTATCACTCAAATCCTATGGTAAATACAACAGTTAAGAAATTTATTGGCAGCCATGCGTGGTGGCACATGCCTGTGATCCCAGCATTGGGAGCCTGAGGCAGGAGGACTGGTATGAGTTGAAGCCAGAATGGGCTACATAGTGAGACCCTGTCTCAAAAAAAAAAAAAAAAAAATGTGACACAGGCAGGATGCTGGAAAAACTTATAGGATTAAGAAACTTGTGAGGGTAGGAATCTTCATTATTTTTCATAAGGAGTATCAGGCATTTCATGCAAAGATTTTATGGATAAAACTCAAGGACATCAGAAAATAGAGGAGTTATAATAGTGCCTGTGTATCACTTGAGGAAGATGTAGCAACATTTGCTGATTCATATTGTTCAGGTTTAAAGTGGTCCTTTTTCCAGAAACTAAAAAGAGTTAAGAGAGGGCCGGGGATTTAGCTCAGTGGTTCCGCCACCTGCCTTGCAAGTGCAAGGACCTGAGTTCAATCCCTGGTACAAAAAAAAAAAAAAAAAAAAAAGAGAGAGAAATAATTAGCAAGGCACATTATGTTTCCAGGTTTTAAGAGAAACTTTTTTTTTTGTGAGTGTGCTGTGGATTGAACCCAGGGTTCTTGTGTCTGCTAAACTCACGTTTCACCACTGAGTTATACCCCCAGCTAAGAGAAACATTCTTGAGCCAGGGATTTAGCTCAGTGGTTTTGCCGCCTGCTGCCCAAGTGCAAGGACCCGAGTTCGATCCCTGGTACCAAAAAAAAAAAAAGAAAAAAAAAAAAGAGAAACATTCTGTAAAGGATGCTAAATCTGAATTGTAAGTTTGGATTAAATACTAAAGTTGTTTTCCAAGGTTAAATTCTGACTAAATTTTGGTCTCTGTATCTGAGATCTGCATTCTAGCACTCTTGTCATCGTCTCTTAATTAATATAGCACTAAAGTAGTTTATATTTATGTCTATAAAAGAGTGACCAGAGAGAATTTTTTTAAAGATGCTGGAACTTGGGGAAAGTTATTTTTATTTTTAATTTTTTGGTTTTTGAGAGAAGGTCTTGCACTGTAATTTAGGCTGAACTCATTATGTAGCCCAGGCTGGCCTCAAACTCATGGTGATCCTCCTGCCTCAGCTTCCTGAGTGCTGAGATTATAGGCACGTGGCACCATGCCTGGCTGTTTTTAGGAATAATTATTTTCTTGGACTAACCTCTAGCTGTTCAACCTCTTAAAATTTCTAAACAACAAAAAAATCAGAAAGAAATGTAATGAAGCACCCAGTTCTTTCAGGACAATGAACATACCAAATTTATAAGAGGGATTTCTCATTGCTAACAAAAATTAATGTTTCCTTTTCTTTACAAAGAGTAAGATCCAGACATGCTATTTGTAAAGGGTGCTTTACCACTACTTGAAGGAAAGAAATTTATGTATGCCAAGGAATAAATAAATTTTCTGTAAATGTTGGTATTTAACACAGGGAAATTCTCAAAACAATTCTGGAATTCAACTAAAACATTTATGCTAAAACTACCTGATGTTTAGAAAATCTGGCTTTTTGAAAGAACTCAAGAGGGCAAATTATAAAAATAATATCTTACCTTTCTGCACTTGATAAGATGATAAGGAAACCTGCAGGCCCTGATCTGGTGGTTTTTATCATAGGGACACTGTAATAGCTTTTCAGGGTCCAAGGAGTCAACTGAAAGAGAAAAATACCTTCAAGTATGAAATATAACAGACCTTTGTAAAACAACCGCATTTCAGGCACATTGGCTTTTTTCTTTTCTCTTTTTTTTTCTTTTTTAACAGAATCTTTAAGATAGATAATAGAAAAAAAGTCAGTCTAAAGAAAAATTAGCTTTTGCTGGGGATGTAGCTCAGTGGTACTGTGCCTGCCTGGCAAGTTCAAGCTCCTGAGTTCGATCCCTGGTACCGGGAAAAAAATTAGCTTCAAAAAGGCTGACTAAACTAAAAAAATAAAATGTAACTGAGAATATAACTGTTACCACTGATTTTTTTTTTTTTTTTTTGAGACAGTACCTTGCTTTGTAGCATAGGCTGGCCTGGAACTCACTATGTAGCCCAGGCTAACCTCACACTTGTGGTGATCCTCTTCCCTCAGCCTCCTAATTGCTGGGATCACAGGTGTGTGCCACCCTGCCTGGCACCACTGAATGTTAATAAATCCAGAAGAATCAGCAGTCAAGGGGTGAGGAATCAGTTCATATTTTAAATATTATTTTCATTAAAAAAAGGGAAAGATGGGCCGGGGATTTAGCTCAGTGGTTTCGCTGCCTGGTGGGCAAGTGCAAGGACCTGGGTTCGATCCCCGGTACCAAAAAAAAGGAAGGGATCCTAGAGATGGAGGGAGGGGAAGAGGATGAATTAAGATATGTTATGTATATGTACCAACTCCTCATAACAAATTTAATCATTTTATACTGCCAACATGTATTAATTTAAAAAATTGTTTTCTTTGTTGGTTATCCTTACCATAAAACAAAAACAAAAAAAGTTAAATGAAGTGATATTCTCTTTTCCTTTTCTAAAAGTTCTAATTTAGACTTACTTTTATTCTCTAGCTAATCCAACCAGAGCTTCCCAACCAGTCTGCTAAAGCTGGAGTAGATTGCAGGTATGCCAATATATCATCCATTGTGGCCCACTGCACTTGTAAATCACCCCACCACTTAATCTTCATACAAATGGTCTTAGGGCAAGTTGAGGACAGTCAATCCCTTTCATTAGCATCTTTGTTTATACTGGTATCTGTGACATAAAGTTGGTAAGCACTGGTCTATTTTAGTTATGCTATTTTATAGAAGCTTGAGAAATATCAGTGGGTAGTTTTTTTTATCTGTTTTAATTTACTCCTATAAGTAGTTCTTGATCATTGTGACTCTACCTCTTTTTTTTTGCTTAAATTCTTTTATTGGTACATTTTAGGTATACAATACGTTTACATTTATCCTTGGGTGCTTGTACCTGTACACGCTGTAATCTAATTACCTCTTAAACGACACCATTACCTTTAACAGACAGGTGGTTTCACTTTCTCTATTTTGGAACACAGGAGGAGGAAAAACCCCAAATAATTCTTAATCTAGTGACTGCCAAACTAGCCAGATTAAAAAAAAAAAAACAATTTGCAAAAACAAAACTTCCTGGGGTTAAGACAACTGCAGACATATGGAACTTCTGTGTGGAAGAAAAACCCCTAATCTAGATCATACTATTTAAAACTTCCCTCAGGATATACAAGATGCCCTGGCTGAGCCCCAAATTTTAACAACTGTTGCTAAGAAAGGGAAATTAAATGGATAAGAGTATTCTTTGAAGAGGCAAATGCTCTTTCCACCCCTAGAGGTAATTTTAAAAGTGAAATAAGATAAACAATTCACATTTGGTAAGAAGCTTACAAACCAGGAGGCTGTAGTGAAAATCAGAAGCCAGTGGGGGATTAATACACAGTTTCACTGGAAGAGCAGTAAACATGGAACGGCTAACCATGATCATGATACAAATGAGCCAGAAGGGTGACTTGAAGGACAGAATAAACAGCCAGGAAAATTCTTAGAGGACAGACAAACTTACTATGCCAACCAAGCTCTTCTTGACCAGCAATCTTTTCCTATTTCTGAAGCTTCAGGACACTCAGGGAGCATTTAGAGATGAAATTCTTATTAGTTTCCCTTCATTTAATCCATTCCATCACTTGAAAATGTTAGGCCATGTCAGCAGCTGACAGACTGGATGTTCCTTATGATTTATACATATTATACTGCCCAAATAGTACCATATGCCAGAGTTGATAATGAGAGCTTCCTACCATGCTTTACTTCTTGGTGTCTGGCAATTAGGTCAGTTCTAATCTGGTTTTCTGTATTTAAAAAAAATTATTTTATTTTTAATTAAAAAATTTAAAATTGTAATACATATAAAATGTACCATTTTAATTATTTTAAGTGTACATAGTGCTAAGTATATTCACATTGTTGCACAATCTCCAGAAGTTTGTTGTCTCACAAATTATATCTATTAAACATCAATTCCCCACATCTCATTCTCCCCAGGCCCTGGAAATCATCATTCTACATATTTTAGATATTTCACAGAAGTGAAATCATGTATCATTTGTTTTTTCTGTAATTAGATTATGTCATTTAACATAATACTCAAGAGTTCATCCATGTTATAGCATGTGATAGAATTTCCTGCATTTCCTATTTTGAAATTTGCTTTTTTTCTTTTTACTAAATGTTTTCTTTTTCTTTTTTGGTACCGGGAATCAAACTCAGGACCTTGTGCTTGCCAGGCAGGCATGGTACCACTGAGTCACATCCCAGGCCCTTCTTTTACTTTTTTCATTTTGGTTATGGAGACTGAACCCAGAGCATTGTGCATGCTAGGTAAGTGCTCTACCACTGAGGTGTATCCCTAGCTCTTCATGTTTTTTTGGAGTTCCTTCCTCGTCAGTATGTATAAGGAATACATCAATGCTGTGTACAGATGTACCACAGATTCTTAATCAGTTCCCTTGTTGGTGGGCATTTGTTTCCAGTTTTTTACTACTGTATACAATACTGTGACTTACAATCTAGTTTATACTTTGTGCACTATATGAATATTTCTGTTGGGAAGATACCTAAGCATGCTGCAGCGATGTGTAGGTGCATTTGAAGTTATAATAAATACTATCAAACATCTCTGTAACAATTTTGTCTGGCTTCCTGGGACTATAACTTGCTTTGGAAAACAAAGTAGGTCCTGTTGACAAGCTTGCTCCAAAAGCATTGACTGCTCTTCAAATTTGAATGAGGCCTGGAACTCACAGTAAGAAATGGAAGAAACTTCATGGGAATAAGAAACTAGACCTGATAAATGTATCATTGAGGTGCAGCCCAAAGACAGAAGATGGAGATCTTCAGAACTCTTATCAGATTAAGGTTGGAATTCTAGGACAATTTGCTAAACAGATCAAGTATATTCTAACACAGTGTTTCTCAAACTCCATATCATTCCCAGGTGTTATTTGGGGATTATTTAAAATACAGATTCTGATTCAGTAGGTTTGGGATAAGCCCTGACACTGTGCATTTCTAGAAAGCTCCTTAGGGCTGGGGATGTGGCTCAGTGGTGCCGCACCTGCCTGGCAAGCACAGGGTCCTGAGTTCAATACCCGGTACTGAAAAAAAAAAATCTAGAAAGCTCCTTGAATTTTTTTTTTGTAAGAAAAATTGTAAGGAGAGCCCTAATGAAGATCAAAGAGAATCAGCCTTTTAGATCAATGATTCTCAAAGTGTATTCTCAGAGCAAATCCATCAGCATCATCTGGGAATTTGTCAGAAATGCACATTCTCAGACCCCACATGTTCTGAATCAGAAACTCTAAGGTGGGACACCTATGTTTTAATAACAAGCCCCAAGGTGATTTTGCTGCATGTTGAAGTTTGAGAACCACTGTGTTGCAGATATGTAACAAAGACTCAAACAACTATCTGTATGTAGTGTGTGTGTGTGTGTGTGTGTGTGTGTGTGTGTATTTTTTTGTGTTTTCCTCCCCCAGCCTTGGGGGAAGTGGTGGTACTGAGGATTGAACCTAGAGCCTTTGCACTGAGCTACATTCCCAGCCCACTTTTTATTTATTTATTTTTTATGTTTTTGTGGCACTTGGGTTTGAACCCAGGGCCTTCACATGAGCTATATCCTCAGCCCTTTTTAATTTTCAGACAGAGCCTCGTTAATTGCCCAGGCTGGGGTTGAATCTGTGACCCTTCTTTCTCAGGCTCCGAGTGCTAGGCAGGATTACAGGAGTGTGCCACCATGCCCAGTTTAGTATCTATATTTTGGTGATGAAGATCTGCACTAGACTTTTCAGAAGGCATAATGAAGCTAACCTACCTGTTAGTTTTACTACTAATTATAATGAGATTCTGAATAAGGCAACAAAGTAGGAAACAAAGCAGGCCCTGTTGACTTGTTTTATCCCCAGGCACCAACTCTGACGCTCCTCAAATTTGGTCAGGGACTAAAGATTCTAGTGCCTGTGGTATCGAATATAGTACTAAGTATAAACATAGAAGATTCTGGTCCTATTTGTCCTAAACTAACAGGTAATGTTGGGCAAATCAATTAATCTAGGCTCTTTTTTTTTTGGTATGGGGATCGAACTTGGGACCTTGCGCTTGTGAGAGGCAGGCACCAGAACCACTGAGCTAGATCTCCGGCCCTAGGCTCTATTATTTTTTCACTGGAATGAAGTAAGTGATTTTCAGGTCCCTTTTGATCCTAACTTGTATGATTCCAGGTGCTGGCTTTGATTTCTTGAGCGTTCTAAGTTTTCTGGATCACTTGGGAAGTAAGAAACCTTCCCAGAATTTCTTTCTTCTTCTTTTTTTTTTTTTGGTACTGGGGATTGAACTCGGGTCCTTGTGCTTTTGAGGCAGGCGGCGGAACCACTGAGCTACTTCCCAGAATTTCTTAACCTAAAAACTCAATGTATAGCAATATTATGTATACTATATTACTCCTCAAAATAGAAAGCAGAAGTTACTATTTCTGTGTCAAATATACAAGAGGCTAGAGTTCTAAGGAGTTAAAAGTGCATCACTTATTTAAAATACAGTTTATAGAGCCCATACTTAGCATGTGCAAGGCTTGGGTTCAACCCAAGCTTCAAAAATACCAAAGGAAATATACAGTTTCAGACAGATGTCCTAATTACTGTCTTTTCAAAGTTGTATGATTTCTCATACCTTTTTACTTAGGTTTTTAGTGTCTTATTTCAAATTTGGAGCTCTTCTGTACATCAATACCACACAGACCTTTCTTTCTCAGTAGCGCAGGGAGAAATTTGAATTTTTCACAACACACTAAAAGTCTAGTCAGATATAAAACTATATGTATATAACTTATTTTCTAAAAGCAATAAGAAGTACATACTGTAAGTGTCTTCCATACTGAAAACGAAGGAGCTGATTTCAAGTGCTGGGGGGGAAAAAGCATGAATCAGGGCATCAGAAATGAAATGTACTAAAGGCAAACCTAAGAAGTGAAACCACTACTTCTTGAAGCTACCCAAGTTCAATATAAGAAATCCTTAGCATGTGCCCTCTTCCCTAAACATTTTCTCTCTTTAAAAGCTTTCATTCCTCCTCAGAAGTTTTTTCTCCCCCTTGCAGCACTGGTGTTTGGACCCAGGCACTTACACACGGTAGGCAAGCACTGCTATTATTATTATTTTTGGTACCAGGGATTGAACTTGGGACCTTGCACTTTTGAGGCAGGTGGCGGAACCACCAAGCTAAATCCCGGCTCAAGCACTAGCCCTTTTTATTTTTTGAGATAGCTACACAGCTGTCTCAGCCTGGGTTTGAATTTGCAATCCTTCTGCCTCAGCCTCTTGAATAGCTGGGATAAAAAGCATGCACGATTTACACCTGACTCCTATGAAACATTTAACATCATTGCCTAATCTACATTCTTGGAATAAATTCTAGGGCCCTCAAATAGGCTATTACTGTTTACCTGCTATTAGCAGTTTATCTGTTAACACTAGAGGGCACAAGTTAAGACCCTAAAAACACTTATATTTAAAATCTAGACAAACACAGGATAGGGTATTTATTTTTTGAGACAAGGTCTTGCTACGTATTCCAGGCTGGCCTCAAATTCACTATACAGCCCATGCTAGCCTTAAACTTGCAGGGATCCTCTTGCCTCAGTCTCCTGAGTGTGAGTGCTGGGATTACAGGCATGTACCACCACACCTGGATTAGGGTACTATTTTAAAGCTCTCCTCTTAAGTTTCTAAAAATTACAGTATAGGCAATCTACCAGTCTTGTCCCTTTCTAGGATCTGGGAATGATGGACATCTATGTTGGACAGTGTATCCTTAACTCATTCAAAATGCTCAGACATTCTAGATTACAATTTTTATGACTTTTCTTAAACATGATCAGGAAGTGCCACAACTGATGTTTCCCTTTTCTAGTGATGGTTAATTTTGCCTTCCTCTCCCAGTCTCTGCTAATATGGCAAAACTTGTTGATTTAAACCTCGTTTGTTATTACTAAAGTCCTTGAGAACGTTAGGACTCAAGAGCTACCTACTGTATATTATGGATAACACAGTCATAAATGAAAAAAATTATTGAAAGTGCAAGGACCCGAGTTTGATCTCTGGTACCAAAAGAAAAGAAAAAAAAAAAGAAAAAAATTCAACAGAAATGTGAAAGATTAAGAGAGAAATTGTTTCATAGTTTTAATGCTCTTCTACTAGAATCTCTATTGAGCACTATAATTAAATAAAACATTATGGGAAAAAACTAATTCTATGTAAAACTACTCCCATAGGAAGCTTCTGAAAATTGGTTATATTTTCAGCTGTTGTTTCTAGGGAAGCTCTCCTTTGGCCTCTCATACAATTCCATACCCTTCCCCCCATTCTATGACATAAGCAGCTGTAGAACTTATGTTAGGAAATACAAGTGATCAGCTGGCAAAGCCCATTTGTTAATGACAATCATTAAACTATCTAAAAATATATTTTTCATGTTTGGATTAAGAAATTCGGATCCTTTTTATACATAGTTATTTTACACTTTTTCATTAAAAATAAAAAGAGGTTTGGAAGAAAGAACCAAGTATTCTTGATTTTAAAGCATATAAAGGTGTGATAACTGCTAGATTCAGCAACACGTAGGGAACCAATCTATTCTTTCCTGCAAAAAGCCTACAGTAAATTAAGGGCACTGGAATTATTAGTATCATCACTCAACTGTATCCCTTTAAATATCTTCCACATCAAATTATTAACAGGTGATCCTTTTCCTTAGTACTAGACCAGTGATTGGGAAAAAATGTGAAACAGTTAAATTTGGGAATTGGGTATAGTGGGAAGCTGTTGTTTCAACTTGGCAGAGTTTGAGGTAAAATAATCATTTTCTTCCTTTAAACAAAAAACCCAGACCGAAATCTGAACAGTTTGAAGCAATGGGACTAAAGAGAAGGTGAGGAAGATAGTTAACTTAAAAAGAAGGTCTAAAAAGGTGCTAGGGAGGCCTTCGAGTGGTCAATGGCTCACAACCAGTCTACAGCCAAATGAACTTTAGTTCAGAGTCCTAGGGCTGAAAAGAACAAGTGGAAAAGGGCAAAAGTGATGTTAAATGGTGTCCGTAACTCAGTACCTTACAGGTGAATTGTTTTGGAGGATCCGGACTCGGGGCCCTTTCCTATCCCAGCGGCGCCACACGCCCCACAGCCGCTTCGCCGCCCCACAGCCACGCCTGGTCAACGCTCACTTCCGGTCCCTAGCACCAGGGGTGGGGCCTCCCACTTCCTGTGACGTGCAGGCGAATTCTGGCTCAGCGTTGGGCCAAGAGGCCCTCAGTTGAGGGCCGGTGGAATCTTCTTCGTCTACCCGTTCCCTACTTGGCCCCAGTTCTACAGTCATTACTACTCCTTGGCTCCCTTCTTCGGCTGGTTCTCTTCAGTACCCCAAGACGGTAGTGGGCGTGCGTGGGTGGAACTTCAGCGTCCTTCCCTGGGCTTTGTGGCGGCCATTTTAGAAAAGGGAATGAGAGTTTAGGAGACCAGGTAGAAGTCTTGTGCTGTCTAGAAAGGAGCCTTATTTGTGGAATTTTTGTTAATAGAAATATAATTTAGATTTTGAGGGAACAGAAGAGGAATTATGAAGGAGATAGGGCAGAACAGTGAAAAAGCCAAAAACCAAGGGCAGGAATTTTGTGTCTTAACAGAGAATCTCAAAATTCGAGAGGGCACTAGTAGTACCTGAGAATGGTTGGTAGAATGATAGATGAGCTAGTGGCGTTAAAATGAGTTTTAGGTTGAAGAGGACAAGTGGGTCACAAAGTTACAACTTCACTGTAGAAAACCAAATACTGGCCCTTTGTTCTGAAAACTGGTGTGCACACCCAGACAGTATAAGCAGATTTTGTTCCCAAAGCTCATCAAGAAAACATACCAAGGATGAATGGTGTTCATCCTGACTGCTCCCCCCCGCCCCCCCCTTCTCGTTTTCTTGAGACAAGGTCTCGACATGTAGTTCAGGCTGGCCTTGAACTTGTGTCGATCCTCCTGCCTCATCCTCTCAAGTGCTGAGATCACAGGCGCGTGCGCCACCACACCCAGATGAATGGATAAATGGCTGTAAAACATATACCTTAAAAAGTGGTAGAGACTTTAAAATCCTGTAAGGAAGGAATCAGTGAAGCCTGAAATTATCTGGAAAAGCATTATGGAGAAAAGGGATTTGTGAACTTTGAAGGGGCTGAACAGAAAAAAGGAAGCTGTTGATGATACAGGTAAAAGGGATGATAGTATTTTTAAAAACCAAGGTGTAAATATGTGATAAGACAAAAAAATTGTGTTCTCCAGATTATAAGAGGCAGTCTGGGAAGTTAAGCTGGGTGCTGAAATATTGGGATTTCTAGGATATTTCTAAAGGTTAAAGCCTAAATATGACCTAGGGGAACCTATCTTGATAGCAAAAACAATAGCTTTAGTGAAAAGGATCTTGGGAGTGGACATTTTATTTTTACACAAATAATTTGTAAAAATTACAGCCCCCCCCCCACCATGAGCAGTGCTGCAGTACTTAAGTTGAGGAGAGTGCTCTATAGCTTTCAGTTCAGATTAAGACCCTAAAAAGAAATAGGTATTGATGGAAGACAGGTTCAAGCCATTCTTGCAGGCTTTGTGCATGGGTGTGTCCATGTCCGTGTGTGTGTGTGTGTGTGTGTGTGTGTGTGTGTGTGATTGTGTTGTAGTACTGGATGGATATTGAACCTGGGGCCTTCACACTGAGCTACTTCCCTAGCTGCCTTTTAAAATTTTTTATTTTGAGACTGAGTCCCACTCAATCGCTAAGTTGCCCAGGCTGGACTTGAACTTGAGATCTTCATCCCTCACCCTTGAAGAGTGCTAGGATTACAGGCATGCCCCACCATGGCTGGCTGGTTTAGTGATTCTTCTTTTTTTTTTTTTGGTAGCGGGGATCAAACTTGGGACCCTCCACTTTCGAGCCAGGTGGGGGAACCACTGAGCTAAATCCCTGGCCTTAGTGATTCTTAATCATGTCTGCTCATTAGAATCACCTAAGAAGCTCTTAAGACATACTAGGCTGAGTTCTCATTCCAGACCAATTAACCAGAAAGAGCCAGGAATAGTTATTTTTTAAAAACCTATCCAGATGAGTCTAATGTGCAGCCAGGGTTGAGAACCACTGACCTAAGCACTGTTCGGAATTTACAAAAGCTGTTCTTTCATCTGAATGGAGTGGATGGTTCATATGAGGAAGGAACACACTGTTTAAGTGCTTTTTCAAAGATAATTGCTAAGAATGAAAGCTTCATTGCAAGCTTAGCACAAAGCATTTTAGAAACCGCTGTTGTTTTGGCAAGTCAGTTTCAGATTGTTAGGAAATAGTTTAAAATAATTTTAATGAAATCCTAACCTCTGACTTTATCACATCATTCATGTTGAATTAGTAGGGCCACAGTGAGTTGAACCGAAATGTGAATTTTCAGATTTCAAATGGCAGCAATCTGGTGCAAGTGTTGTCACTACTCCCATGATGTATAAGTATTTTTAAATTCAGATACCTGTAAATTGAAATTTCTGAGGAAGAAAGAGCTAAGAGCTTGAGAGGAATAAGATTGAGTCCTAAACCAGAATCCAAAATCAGGCTTTGGTGCATTCAGAAGTGCCTTGTTCAGGTGACAGGATCTTCAACTGATAAAGCTGTTCCATTTTGCACCAGTGAGCAAGACTGCTGACTTACAGACAGAATTCAAACCTGCCTTTCAGTGGTGATTTTGAAATAAAAATGCACCACACATTTATTCTTTTCAACCCCAAAACATTCTGCTTTATCTGAGATCCTTGCTGAGTTTGCTTTCAGAGTGGTTTTCCAGCCAGGTTGATCATATTTGAAAAGGAAAAGAACAAGAGACCAACTCTTTTGAACAAACACCATTCTAGGACGTAGTGGAGATAAATACACCAAATTGAATTCTGATAATTTCTGGTTTTATCTGTTCATATTCTAGCATTTATCCTTATAGATTTTTTTACTAATTATTAATTTAAAAAATATAAAGTTTATGGATTAATGATTAAAAAGACAAATCTAAGGCTGGGGAGTTAGCTCAGTGGTTTCACTGCCTGCTCTGCAAGTGCAAGGACCCGAGTTCAATCCCTGGTACCAAAAAAAAAAGACAAATTTATACTTTAGTGATTGAAAAACCTTTGTTAGGCGGGGTATGGTGGTGCACACTTTTGTAATCCCAGCTGCTCAGGAGGGTGAGGCAGGAGACCAAAAGTTCAAGGCCAGCCTGGACAATTTAGTGAGACTTTTATTTAAAAAAAAAAAAAAAAAAGTTGGGCCGGGGATTTAGCTCAGTGGTTTCGCTGACTGCTTTGCTGCGCATATGCAAGGACCCGAGTTCAATCCCCCGTACCAAAAAAAGAAAAGCTGAAGATGTAGCTCAGTGGTAGAGTGCTAGCACATCATACTCAAGCCCTAGGTTCAGTTGCCAATGCTGTAAAACAAACAACAAAAACATTTGTCAGAAAATGAGTATTTTTAGTCCTTTGAATTGAAGAAATTCCAGTAGTACTTGAGATACATCAGAAAGTTTCAGTGTTTCAGAAAGCCTAATAAAATAAATTTTTGCCCATCAAAAAACTAAAATACTGACTTTCTTTGTTTCTGACTTGAATTTTATCAACTAAGTCCTAGTCCTTTCATTTAATTATGATTTCTGATTGGTAGTTAAGTGTATAATTAAAAATAGAAAAATTATTCTATAAACATTTGGAAATCAAAATAAAGGGCTATGGGGAAATGTGATAGGTACTCTTATTTTTTATTTATTTATTTTTTTGCCGTAGCAGGAGTCAAACTCAGGACCTTGCACTCGCAAGGTAGGTGCAGTGCCACTGAGCTAAATCTCCAGCCCCTGTGATAGGTATTCTTATTGGTGAGGATATACAATTATTGGAAAATATTGTACAGAAGAGAGAAAAGTTGGAGTTATATAGAGTTGTTCAGGCATAGTAGCAGGGAGAGATGGTAGAAACTAATGAAAATAAATTTATGTTCAGAAAAGAGTTGCTAATGACAGCATGCCAAAGAATAGCCAACATTTAACTCCAGAAAGCTAAAGATACAGGATAAGCAGGGGAAAAAACAGATGATATTTTGTTTGAACTAATATGTAAATGTTGCATATCTCTGTAATCTACACTGTCTGTAATAATTACCAGTATGTGGTACTTAAGAAATCCATTCTGTGTTTTCCCCTGATGTATAGGCAGTTCTTTTCCTCAGAATTCAAGAAAATATAGCTTCTCACACACTTTCTGGTGCTGGCATTTAACATGTAAATTTAAGCCAAATTTTGTAAATTGTCCTAGTATCAAACAGATAGGTAAAGAAATGGAAACATTCTTTTTTAGTTTTCTTGAGACAGGGTCTTGCTCTGTAGTCCAGGCTGGCTTTGAACTCTCTGTGGTGCTCCTGCCTCAGTCTACTAAGTGCTGGGATTACAGGCAAGTGCCACCAGGCCTAGGTTGGGAACTTTTTGAAGATTGTTGAAAAGAAGGCAGCATGGCAAAATTATGCCAAAGAAACATTATCTGCTAACAATTATGTAAAAGGCTACTGTTGCACAGAACAGTTCTAAAACTCCATTACTACCATTCCTTTTTTTTTTGTATATCCTTTTATTGGTACATTTTAGGTGTACAATATAATGACATTCATCATTGGAGATATGCACCTTTACATACATACTCTCTTGGTTCTTATTTTTTCCCCCTTCCCCTGCCCTCCCTTCAACCCCTGCATCCCTCCCTATTTACAAAGACTTTTTCCATTTTTTCATTTTCTCATTAATTCCATTCCCTTCTTTCCTTTCCCCTACCCTTCCCACTTCCCCTTCCCCTTTGCCCCTTTTAATGCTACCATTCTTTGGATTTTCTATTTTAAGGAATGTCAAATGTTTAAATATAAGACTCACTGGGGCCGGTGATTTAGCTCAGTGGTTCCGCCGCCTGCCTTGCAAGCGGAAGGATCCGAGTTCGATCCCCGGTACAAAAAAAAAAAAAAAAAAAAAAAAAAAATATATATATATATATATGGCTCGTTCTCTCTGTGACCTTCTTGTAACTTCTTGGGATTAAATCCTTACTTTTTGTCTTGTTTTGGTTTTGGAACTACCATTTACTTTCCCCTTTCCTAGCACTTTTATAGTGCCTTGTACCAGTGGTTCTGAAAGTGTGCTCCCCGTATTGATAGCATCGGCATCTGGAGACTTGAAGAAATGCAGATTCTTGGGCCCTAGTAAGGCCTACTGAATCAGAAACTCTGGAAGGTGAGAGACCCTACAATGTTGTTTTTTTTTTTTTTGTTTTTTGTTTTTTGTACTGGGGATTGAACTCGGGACCTTGTGCTTGTGAGGCAGGCAGCAGAACCACTGAGCTAAATCCCCGGCCCTGTTTTTGTTTTTTTAAACAAACCTTCCATGTGATTGTGTTATCCACTAAGTTTGAAAACCATTGCCTTATACTATAATTGTTAACATTGTTCCGTCATAATGGACCATGCCACTATAGTTTGGTTTTTTAAACTGAGGTGTGATTGACAAATAAATTGTGTATATTTAAGGTTTACATTATGATGTTTTGATATAAGTACACCTTGTGTAATGATTCCCATAGTGAAGCTAATTAGCAAAACTGGGACATAGTTATCTTTTATTTGTGTGTGTTAAGAATGCTTAAGATCTATTTAGCAAATTTCTGGTATACAATACATTGTTTAGTTTTTTGAGACAGACTCTCTATGTAGTTCAGGCTGATCTTGAACTCACTGTGTAGCCCAGGCTGGCCTCAAACTTGAAGTGATTCTCCTGCCTCAGCCTCCCTAGTGCAGGGATTACTATGCCTGGCTTACAAATACATTGTTATTAACTGTAATATCCATGATGTGTATTAATTCTCTAGAATTTATTGATCTCATAGGTGAGTACAGTGGATCCTCAAGTTACGACCGGCCTGACATAGGAACAACTTGGATTAATTAGGTTAATGGAAGATTCATCTGCTTCTTGTTAGCTATAACATGTACCCAGATCTCAGCTGTGTTGACTTACAACCAACTTGAATTACAACCAGCCCTTGGGAACTGATTGACTTCATAAGTCAGGGGTCCACTGTACTTGTAGGCTTTGACCAATATCTCCCCACTTCCCCCATGCTACTATAATACTTCTTAAATAGTGTTGAAAATATCACAGATACTTGATTATTTGACTGAAGAACACAGGTATATTTTGTCAAGTGCTGTAAACTAAGACATCCATCTGTTTTATAAAAGAGTATGTGGGAAGAAGAGACTAAAATAGTAGAGATTTTACCTTTTTTTGTACTACAGCTGCTTGGAAAGCCTGCACTAAAAGGCCCAGAAAGTCTGGACCAATATGGGGCAGATAAAGATGTGGAGCCAATGAGGTACGTTTTGGTACATATTTGGGACTTGACTTAGGGGCTTAGCAGATTTTTCCCCCCACGGTTTGTACTGTGAATAGAAGAGTTGAAACCTTAAAACCTGATTTTAGGGAAGAAATTTTATACCTGGAAAGGCCTAACTTGCCTTAATAGGACTTTCTGGAGAAGGAAAACCCATTACCATGATTTTGGAAAGGTTGATTAATTCTGATAGAAATATTTAGCCCAGAATATTGAATCTCATTTTACCTAAGCAAGGCTTTCAAGTATAGATTCTCTACATTCAGCAAACTTGACTCTGAGTACGGGCCTAGTACACAGTCAAGATCATGCCTATCCCAAAGCATCTTATAGCTTAACAATAATAAAGCAGAATGAAAATCAGTAGCTTTCCTGTACATGAGTAACACACTCACTGAGAGAGAAATTAGGGAAACAACACCTTTCATAATAGCATCTAAAGAAATGAAGTACCTAGGAATCAATCTAATGAAGGAAGTGAAAGACCTTTACATAGAAAACTATAGTACCCTGAAAAAGAAGATCGAAAAGGATATCAGAAAATGGAAAGATATCCCTTGTTCTTGGGTAGGAAGAAGAATATGAAAATGGCCATATTTACAAAATTGTTATACAGATTTAATGCAATCCTGATCAAAATTCCAAAAACAGTATATCTCACAGAATTAGAGAAAACAATCCTAAAATTAATTTGGAACCAGAAGAGACCTACAATAGCAAAGGTAATTCTGGGCAACAAAGGCAAGGCAGGGGGCATCACAATCCCTGACCTAAAATTATACTACAAAGCTACTGTGATAAAAACAGCATGGCACAGGCAAAAGAACAGACCTGAGGATACATGGAACAGATTAGAAGATGCAGAAGCAACTCCAGACATACTCTGCCACCAAATCTTTGACAAAGGAGTCAAACACCTCCACTGGAAGAAAGATAGCCTCTTTAATAAATGGTGCTGGAAAAACTGGCTTTCCACATGCCGAAGATTAAAACTAGACTCATATCTTTCACTATGCACTTGATTTCAAAGTGCATCAAAGATCTACATATTAAAACAGAAACACTAAAACTGCTGGAAGATAGAATAGGTAGAACTCTCAAAGACATTGGTGTAGGATAAGATTTTATGAATAAAACCCTGGTCACTCAGGAAATATCATAAAGAATTAACAACTGGGATCTCATTAAAAACTTTTGCACAGCAAATGAAATCAACAGAGTGAAGAGACAACTCACTGTGGGGAAAATATTCTTCAGTTCTTCAAATTCTATACTATCTAGAATATATAAAGAACTCAAAAAATATCAGACCTCCCAAATTTAAAGACTCAATCTAAAAATGGGCATCTGAAATGAGTGGAAATTTCTCAGATGAAGAAGTAGACATGGAAAATAAATACATGAAAAAATGTTCACCATCACTGGTCATTCGAGAGATGCAAATTAAAAACAATGCTGAGATTCCATCTCATTCCAGAAAGAATGGCTGCTATCAAGAAATCAACCAGGGCCAGGGATTTGCCTCCTGCCTCGCAGGTGCAAGGTCCCAAGTTTGATCCCCGGTACCCTCCGCCCCAAAATCAACCAATAACAAATGCTGGCAGGGCTGTGGGGAAAAAGGAACCTTTCTCCACTGTTGGCAGGAGTGTAGACTGTTGCAACCACTGAGGAAATCAGTGTGGAGATTCCTCAAAAAACTAAAACTAGAGGCTCCATTTGACCCAGCTATTCCCCTTCTTGGTATCTTCCTGAAAGAATTAAAAGCATCATACTACAGCGATATATGCACACCCATTTTTTTTTTTGGTACTGGGGATCAAACTCGGATCCTTTCGCTTGCGCAGCAGGAGGCGAAACCACTGAACTAAATCCCCAGCCCTGCACACCCATGTTTACAGCAGCACAGTTTGTAATAGTTAAATCTTGGAAACAGCCCAAATGCCTATCAACTGATGAATGGATAAAGAAGATATATATATATATATATATTATTTATTTATTTTTATGGGAGGGTTTTTGTTGTTGTTGTTGTTGGTACCAGGGATCGAACTCAGGTCCTTGTGCTTGCAAGACAGGCGGCATAACCACTGAGCTAAATCCCGAGCCCCTGGGAAGATATATATTTTTAATCCAGTGGAGTACCACTCTGCCATTAAGGCATATCCTTTTTTTTTGATACCAGAGATCGAACTCAGGACCTTGTGCTTGTGAGGCAGGCGGTGGCACCACTGAGCTAAATCCCCGGCTACTCTGCCATTAAGAAGGATGAACTGGAGACATTTATAGCTAAATGGATGCAGCCTTAAGACATACTTTTAAGTGAAATAAATCAGACACAGATGTTTAAATACCACACTGTTTCTCTGTGTGAGAAACCAAAAATGTAAATAAGGTCTAAAATGTATAATAGATATTGGCAAATGGGAATAAGATGTTCAAGTGAGAAAGGGAACAAGGGAAGGGGGAAGAAATGAAGGGACAGGGAAGAAAGAAAATATAAGGAAAAAATGGAAACAAACTTTTGTATGTAAGGAGGGGAAGAGGGGTCTGTGGAAGAAGGAGGGGAATGGGAAAAAAAAGAAGCAAGACATATCATGTACAGGCACAAATTCCCTATGAAGAATGTTGTCATGTATATCTAAAATGTACCAATAAATATTTTGCTTCAACAAAACAAAACAGAATGAAAAGTCCCATGGAGACATAAACAACCTGTTAGTCAGGTGTGGTAGCACATGCCTATCATTCCAGCACTCTGGGAGGCTGAGGCTGGAGGACTGCAAGTTCCAGCCCAGCCTGGGCAATTTAGTGACCTAGGGAGACCCTATCTCAAAATTTAGAAAAAGGGAGATCAGCGGGATGTAGCTCAGTGTGAAGGTCCTGGGTTCCATCCCCAAAATTACCAAAGAAGACAAAACAAATAAAAAACCCCAGCATGACGAAGATGAAAGCATATTAAAATGGGAGTGGGCTGGAGATTTAGCTCAGTGGTGTTGCCTCCTGCCTCAAAAGCACAAGGTCCTAAGTTCCATCCCAGGTACCAAAAAAAAAAAAAAAAAAAGGGAGTACATTGCCTTTAGAGAGTTAGGAAAGTAGATTCGAAGCCGTGTTTCAACTTCAGCTTGTCACAAAAACTATGTCTTTAAGCATGGAAGATTTGTAGTGAAAACTGAAGAAGGTTGATCTGATGGTCAGATAGTAAATGATTTGGAGAAAAACTTTAAAGAATGAAGAACCTAATTATGCAAGCATCAACCACAGGCTATTTCCTCTACTAATAAGGGAAACAGGCAAATAAGTTCTTTAGCCTTTTGGTTGACAAATGAGAATGTGAAAATAAGAAACAATAAGAAACTAAATGAAGCTTGTCATAGGAAAAATAATCTTTATTTAAACAAATAAAAACATATTAAGACACCAATGCAAGAGTTGTTACCTAAAACTTGACAGTTAAGATTTTTCTTTTACTGTGTTGGGGATTGAAACCAGGGCCTCCTGCATGCAAGGCCAGCACTCTGCAACTGAATCACATTTCCTGCCCCACAGTTAAGATTTCCCTAAAGCTTAAAAAAGACTGGAAAATAAATTTTCAGTCTGTTGGTTCTTTAATCCACACTTCGCCATCAGTTTTTCTTTTCTTTTTTTTTTTTTTTGGTATCAGGAATCGAACTTAGGACCTTCCACTTTCGAGGCAGGTGGTGGAACCACTGAGCTAAATCCCTGGCCCACCATCAGTTTTTCTGCCTGTAGAGAGAAAGATTGAGGTGGTGTCATTTTTTTTTTTTTTTTGAGGTGGTGTCATTTTGATATGAATGTTTTTATGAAGGACCTAAGCTTGAGGTGTGTTCAGAGCATTTCAAATACAGCCCTAGATAGCCTTTTCTCCCAACTCTAATTTGAAGCTATCAGGACTTCCCCTGTCTCTATTGTGTTTGTTTCCTACTAAATTTTATTTTATCCCATTCCCCCCCAAACCCTCCTCCCCTCCCTATGTACAAAAGCTTTGTTTCCATTTCCCCTGTGTCTATTGTGAACAGAGGAAGGACTTAGAATAGGATTTGTTTAATTTTCTTTAAAAAATTTTGTTTAAATTATATTAGTTTTTTTTTTTTTTTCTTGTAGTACTTGGGGTTGAACCCATGGCCTTCACACTGACCTATATGCCCAGGTCTTATTTTTTTGAGACAGGGTATCACTATGTAGTTCAGTCTGGCCTTGAACTCACTGTGTAGCCAAGGCTGGCCTCAAATTCTAAGTAATCCTCCTGCCTCAGCCTCCTGAGTGCTGGGATCACAGGGATGCACCACCACATCCAGTTCCCCAGGTCTTGTTAAGTCACTAAATTTCCCAGGCTGGGCTCAAACTTGTGATCTTCTTGTCTCCGCCTCTCAAAGCGCTGGGATTACAGGTGTATGCTACCATGCCCAGCTGTGCTAGTTTAAAAAAGTTATTTTACCTTTTTTCTACTTTTTATTGTTGTTAGGATGCTTATCAGCCATAGCCTCTTTTTTTAGGTCTCTTGAGTCACTGTAGGAGGGGATCATAAGAGGAAAATTAGTTGAAAACAATGACTGGAGAATTAGTCTAGATAACCAGTTATAGGAGGTTAAATTATTTTGTCAAACATACTTGATATTAGTAAGTGTCATAAAAGGAATCTTTTTTTTTTCTAATTTGTTTTGTACAGTATATTTATGCCTTCTCCCTGGGAAATTCAATTAATGGCTCTTAGAACTCTTGAAAGTTCCTTTCAAGCTTGTTTCGTTGGAGATCCTGACCTGGTTCTTTTTCTTTCATATATTAAGGAATTGGTCTTTTTTCTTTGAAAATCTTACACAGGATCAAGAATATTATGTATACAAGCTCTTTATGGAAATATAATCCCAAGTGGAGCCATTGAGAAGCAATGGGAAGCACTCAGAACCTGCCTCATAGATCTGTAGTATTTGAAGCTTAGGTATCTGCCATGCCTATGACCCAGTGCCCATCTCACTTTTAAAGCCCAGCTTTAAAAGTATTGTTCTAATCTGACAATAAAATATAGCTTATCTTTTTTTTTTTGGTACCAGGGATCGAACTCAGGACCTTGCGCTTGCAAGGCAGGCACTGGAACCACTGAGCTAAATCCCTGGCCCCTAAAATACAGCTTATCTTACCTTTCACAAACCAGCATTTTTGGAGTAAAAGTTTTAAGAATGAATGAAGAGTGATCCGTGTTATCTAGAAAGGAGAGGAGGAGTAGGTGACACAAGTACTAAGCATTTTTATATCATTGCAGAGACTAGCTGGCAGCAGGTGTTTGAGCCTTCCTTCTGAAGCTGTCACTGGGAAGTGGCTGTTCTGCCAGGGACTACTTTCTCACTTCTCTCATGTTTAGGTGTGATGATGTGACTAGTTTTGCCAATGGAAGAGGAATGAAAGTATTCTCTTCTAGGCTGAGGCGCTTTCTTCATTCTCCTTTTGTGGCACCTTTGAAAGTTAAATGTAGAAGGTGACAGCAAGATGAAAAAAGACTGTCCTTGAACCACTATCACTCATCCAATACTTGAACTGGGATTTACACAAGAAAACTTCTGTTGTGTTAAGCCACCATATTAACATGGTTTGGAGGTTATAGATTATAGGAGCTAGCAGATATGTAACGCATACATATCTTTATTTTGTGGTGCTGGAGGTTGAACCTAGGGGTCATGCATGCAAGGCAAGAGCTCTGAGCGACACTCTAGTTCTGATTTAATATTAAGACTGACTGTGAGGCAGTCTTTTATAGATGAAGATGCATTTGAGAAGTAACTTCACTTAAAGTGAGAGCAGATTGTTGAACCTAGATATGACTGAAAGCCAGCAATGTCTCCATTGTAACATGCTGCATCATAGAGACAGGATATTGCTCGAGATAAGTGATAAATCCCAAAATTTCAAGTTCCAGATGTGGGTAAGATCAGAATCTTTTTCTTCAACTCTACTGCAGATTAAACCCAGAGCATTTATACTCAGCTAGTTCCCCAGGCTTTTAAAATTGAGATACAGGGTCTTCCTAAGTCACGGAGTTACCCAGGCTGGGCTTGAGCTTGTGATCCTCCTACCTCAGCCTCCCAGAGTGCTGGGATCACAGGTGTGTGCCTCCACATTCAGCTGAACTGCAGAATCTTTTAACTTATAAGAGAATTTAAAGTTTAGCTAGGCTTCTTTTTACTGGGCTAACTCTCCAGAGTCAGGTGGAATTCTTAGATTTACTAATTGGATTGCTTAGTGAAGGATTTTGTGGGAAAAGTATCAAGATTTAATTATCCAGGGTTGTGTTAGTAGCTATAAAGGGCACAGAAATCAGGCCTTCATTCATGATTATGCTCACTGTTTCACCCTTGCTCACCTACATTCCAGACAACTGCATCAGGTATCTGATTGGTAGCACTAGAAAGTTTTTCAGTTAACTCCAAACTTGGAGAAATAAACTTGGGAAGATTAACTGGTTCTGAAATAAAAGACCAGGAGTTATAGGAGTAGAAGTTTCTTTTGTATATTACTCCTCTGTTAAGGCTTCCATAGTTATGAGATGTGGTACAGGGAACAATAGAACTTAATGCTGCTTACCTGCCACCAAAATGAAAAACTTACCATCATCTGTAGCACTTCTGTAGACACAGTTAGCCTCATGTTCCTCGAGCCTTTTGATTGGAACCACATGACAAGCATTATATTTGCAGTTAGCCATCTTTTTAGCTATGTTTGGATTTTTCTAGAAAGAAAAAGTTCTTGTTAGATTTTGCTTGTATTCCACCCTCAACTCATTTCTGGAAATGCTGAAGAAATATCATATTTCAGCATTAAGAACTTCCAGGTGCTACATATGGTCAGAAGCTTTTTTTTTGAGCTTTTTTTTTTTCCTCTAGGGATTTATAGTTCTTATCAGAAAACTAACCTTTTTGCATGATGCCAGGTGGTACTGTAACCTGCTGGCTGGCATCCTGTGAGTTGGGTTATAAGGACATATTTTTAAGGCTTCTGGCTCCATGATGCCTAAAGAGCAGAAACCATGGGTTGGTAAAGATTGACATTTGAGATTAGGTAGTCTTGACATAGGCCTATTTTCTATTTTTGAAAGAAAAGTGGAATGAAATATATAGTTATCTCAAGTTTTACCTATGAAATTTTGAATTACTAAAGCAATAGCCTAGCCAGTTAGACAATAGAGGATATTCACTTCTTCCATACCTTGAAAGACCAAAGTTTAATATTTGTACATGTCTTATAGGTTGTTTTAAACAGTTGTGTGGCTCTTAAATAGAGTACTAAACAGGGAGGACTCCTTGGGAAACTCACAGACCTGGGATGAAATACAGTACTTAACACTGTAAGCCTGAATGTTGGAGAAAGCAAGGCTGGTGTAGCAGGTTCCTTTACTGCTCACCATTGGTCCCTTCCCTTCCTTCTCCAGCTTAGCTAAATTAAGCTCTTTGGCAGGGAGAGATGCTAATTGTCATATAGGTCAACATAGCCACCTTTGGAGGAGAACGAACAGTACAATGTTCAAGTTCAGGCTACTTTATAGTTACTTGAGAACATCAGCCCAAAATCTCAAAGGTTGTACATGTTAATATATAGAGACTCATAGAAGTGAACTAAAAATACAACATCTCAAATTTGCTACATTTTACTGCCAATAGGAGGTCTACTTTTTCCTATAACTAGATGTCTTTAGGAATCCTAGCAGACATTAATTTCAAGGACTTCCAAGTTTCCAGGCAACAGCTGCAGCTGAGATTTCTGCAAAGGAGGGATGTATAGTTTGATGGAGGTGGGGTGGGGAGGAGATCAAGGCAGACTGGCATAAGTAGGAAGGCTAGAAAGGTGCCCTAGAATATCCCATTTCAATTCTGCTTTGTACCATGCCTAGGGCATAGACAAAGGGCACAAAGCTAGACTGTTAAGTGTCAGATTTCCCTGAGGGCATTTTGGGGATTAAATCCAGGGATTAAACTCAGGTAGTTTTTAGGAACACAAGCCAGGGTAGTTCTTTAAAGCTTTCACTGCATATGAATGATTAGATTAGAGCCATGAACACTTATTATAAAATGAATTGGCTTTTTTGGGGGGGAAAATAAAGGTCTCAATATAATCCAATATTGTATACAGTTATTCTTAGGTTCTTAAAGATAATGAGAAAGGTGCTATAATACCCAAATATAGTTTTCAGAACCCCAAATCCTTATTTTAGTCAACAGCCTAGAAAAATATGAGTCTTGACCAGTCTGTCTTAATAAGGCTAGTCTTAACAAAAAGTGCTTCAGAATAGGCAGTGACAACTGGTGACATTGGATTGTTCACCTAATTATGATGATGATGATTTTGAGATGGGGTCTAGCTAAATTTCCCAGGCTGCCCTTAAATTTACAATTCTCCCTTTTCAGCCTCCTAGGTAGCTGAGATTACAGGTGCACACCATCACACCCAGATTCACCTAATTATTGATAGATGAATATCCCAATGTAGGGAGGCCGAGACTGTGATGGAGGCCATGTGTTTTAACACAGGTTAGTTTTGGCAAGACTATTCCAAACTTGATGCCACCTTGACATGTAAGCCTAGCCTAAACGATCTTGAGACCTCCTTATCTCAAAGTAGTGTCTCTCAAGATTCCTGAGGGAAGTGTCCCTGGAAGACGAATACAGTCCTTCTGTGTGGCAAACAAAGGGAACAGATGAGGTATTTGAGGTGAGAGAAACCACAGGATCTTTCAGGCAATGATGGGAATCAACATGCTGTTCAAGCTTTCTGTTAATTCCTTTCCTCCCATCATTGCTTCTATAGTTTCTCAGAGATTTGGAAGGTTTTGATGAGGTTTGAAGTCTTAGGGAAGTGATTCTCAGTCTCATTGTGCATTAAGAATCACTGAATAGTTTTTTGTTTTTGTTTTTTTGGTGCCAGGGATTGAACTCGGGTCCTTGCGCTTGCAAGGCAGGCAGCAGAACCACTGAGCTAAATCCCCAGCCCTCACTGAATAGTTTTAAAGTGACAGATGCTTTGGTGTCACTCTAGAATGATTGGATTGGAATCTCAAGGGTGTAGTCAGGCTGAGTATGACTTTAAAAAGGCTCCAGGGGATTGTGATTTGCAAATGGGTTTTGCTCTAGGTAAATTAAATACCTTTAGGAGGGCTCCTCTAGTTCACAAGAGGAGCTGCCACATAGTCTTTCCAATAAGGTTTCTCTGAAGACTACCAGTTGGCATGATTAGTCCCATCTTTAAACCTGGCCTTTTAAATTTACAGAGTACCAAATAGAATTCCACAAAAAGTGACATTAAAAGCTCACTGCATACATTCCTAACCTAATGTACTAGGCCTTGAGCCAAATGTTTACATTTGCCCAATTATTTTTATCACTTCCGCTATTATATGAGGGATTATCAACATACATAGATTAGGCAACCAATTCATGATGATGGATAGCCTAAAGTTGCAAAGCTAAAATGTGTTTGAATAATATTAATATTGTTTGAGGTAATACACATAAAGCACTGAAATACCTGGTATATAGTAAATAACTACGTTATTGTTTTGTGTGTACTAATCTATTTAATACACAGAATAGCTCTATAGTAACTCCCAGATAGGAGTTATTATTAATATCATCTCCATTTTACAGGCAGGGAAATTCGGTCAGCTGGTAAGTCATAGAGGCAGAATGTGAACTCAAACTACCTGACTCTAGAACCTGGGCTCTTAGCCTCCAAGTTATAAGGCTCACTTCACTGTACTCAACTATGTTTGAGGCCAATCCTGACCGATACCAAAGTGTAAACTTCCCCTGTATACCAAGTACAGGAGAATAAGTATTTCCAGGCTGCAGCAATCTTTCACTTCGGTAGGCAAGAGAGTATAATAATGAAATGGGCAATTAAAGAGCAAATATGATTGAAAGGTAAAATATGTGATATAAACCAAGTGCTGTGAGAGTTCAGCAAGGGCTGGACTCATATGAGTATTGAGCTAGATCTTGAAGACTAAATAGGATTTGTGTCAGTCAGAGAGAAACATACATGCGTGAAGGTAGAAAGGAGCACAGCACATTCACAGATAGAGTACACAGTCCCAACTAGGTTGGGAAGTCCATATTAGGGGACTGCAGAAGACAAGACTGGCTTGGGATGGAGACTCATCAATCAAATGCTAGGATAAGAATAAGGAATACAAGTTCAAAAACACCAAGAAAACAGTACTCACTCTGAGAAGGTTGGTGCTGTTTTGCTGCTCAGCTTCCTAAATGTTGACCTCTCACAGCCTTCTCTTTATTCTCCTCTATCAAGGTAAAAGACCAATAGAAATCACATAAATCTCTTTAGTAGATCCCAGGATTCTTTGATAACAGCAGGTGATTCAGATCTTCAGAACCAATCACATTATTCCAGGGTCATAGCTTTTTAGGGACACAATCCAGAAAATAAATTGGAAGATAGATTCTCTTTTCAAAAATCCAAAGTCTCCCTTAGAGATGTTTGAAATGTAACATTTTAAGCATTGGCATCTTGAGTTTCAAAAAAAACAACATTCTCTTGGGAGCAAACACGTTCCTTAAATAATGCTGATCAGTTCTGGCTCTCTTTCCCTATTTCCCTAATCACCAGGATTTATCAGGACATGTGAGAGGTCTGGATATGGAGAAATGGAAATAACTGAAAAGCAGATAAAAGGTTTTCGAAAAGATGTGGCTGCAAAGATGACTCTTATTTAGAATTTTTCCTATGGCCCTTTTTTTTTTGTATGTGTTGTAAAAGAAACTTAAAATGAGTTGAAGCTTTTCTTGAGTTCAGGGTTAAGGTTTGGCTCAAATGGCAAGAATAGTTTAGTGTGAAATTTATTCAGTCCTCTAAGATTTAAGGGTCATTATTAATTTCTTCTTATTAATCTTGATTATTTGGTTCTTTTTCATGGAACTTATTTCTCAATTTAATCATAATAATAACTCAACAAATAAGCCAGTGTATTTATTGAGTGGCAGCTGTATTCAAGAGGTATTGTTCTAGATCGGTGTTTTTCAACATATGTCCCCTGGAGCATTTGTAACAAAACCTCTGATGGTACTTATAAATGCAGATTTCTGGGCCCTCTATAGAGCTACCTATCTGAATCTCAGAGGACAGGGATTGATCTCAGTTTTTAAGCACCTAAAGTACCATTATACTAGAGCAGTTTTTCTCAAACTGGAGGTGCATTGGAATTACCTGGAGGGCTTGTTAGTAGTGTGTGGACCCAGCTCAGAATTCTGGATTCAGTAGGGTCTGGTCTGGGCCAGAGAATTTTCATGCCTAACACATTTCCAGGTGATATGATGCTGCTTGATCACACTTTGAGAATCACTGTACCAGAGCCTTGTGAAGGATATAAATATTAAGAACAATTCCTGTCATTAGGAGCATATGTGGTACTTGAATAAGACATCTACCTAAAAAATATAAGAACTAACACACACATATGTGTATATTTTGGCAATTTACAATATAATATTTGACATTGGATGGGGTGGATGGGATTTGATCTGAGTTCTAAAAGATGGTGAGGCCTAAGGTTCAGTAGACAATCAAACAAGTTCTTGATGGGGACATAAAAGAGGGAAAGTGTAGAATGTAAGAGGGTGGGGTGGTAGATAATTTGTTGGTCTGGTATAGAACTTTGTCCAGGACAGTTGTGGAGGGGTAAGGCCAAAAAGATTGGTGTCACACTATAAAGAGCCTTGAAAGCCTGTCCCTTACCCCGCCACACCCAACTCACAGCTTTACCAAAAGGCCCAGAAAGAGGAAGTCTCCTCTGCTTAGTGTGCAAGAGGAAGCACAAGGAGGCCAAAAGGGCCTGTGAGCCACAATGACTGCTTTCACCCAGGAGCCAATTGCAGAGGCAACAGGAAGACTAGCGCACCAACCAGGCTGGGTTCCTCCGCCCAGACGGTGTCACCACCCAAGCTGAGAGTGTTTGGAGAGATCAGGCATTGCTGTTCAGACGCTCCTCTCTCTTGGTGGCACCATGTCTTTGACCTCTGCTTACCAGCATAAATTAGCAGAGAAGCTCACTATCCTGAATGATCGAGGTCAGGGGGTTCTCATCCGTATGTACAACATCAAGAAGGTAAGTAGGAGCAATGGGACCGGTACTAATCATTCCACTGTCAGTAGGGCAGGGAAGCCCAAGACTGGCAGGTCCAGAAGTTGGACTCCCTCCACTTTTCCACTGCTCCTACTGGCCTTTAGTTGCTCAGATTGTGTAGGCCGGGCAGTTTAAGAGACAGGGCGGAATCTTCTTTTTAGGGGCTCCCTTTTCTAGGTCTGATTCTCATTCCAGGGAGAGCAATTGCTTTCTGCTGGGGCTGATAGTTAGGGGTGGGGGTGGCAGGGAGAGTAATTCTGAGTTATTTGGAGAAAGGTTTAGAATTCTGGGTCTTAAATATTGTAGATCCTCCACACTCGAGGAAATCTAAAGTTGAGTTTCTGCAAAAACTTTCACGGGAGCAGTTTCCTTAAAGGTAAAAGATATTTAGATTTTTAAAAGGTAGGTGCCTTTTGAGGCACTTTATCTTAGGGAACTCATGCTCTGTGTATGTTGTTTAGGATGGAAACTGTGAAACTGGGAGAAGCTGGTGGCAAGAGGTGGGCCAGGGGCTGGGCAAGTCACAGGAAGTAAAGAGATAAAGACGGGTAATTGTGGGACGTTCCTGGAACAGAAAATAAGAGACTTGGGGGGAGAGAACTTCTGTGCGTTTTGTAATAAAACAAATCACAAGGAACATAGATTTTCTGTCCCCATGTCTCCAATAAATGCCCTTTGGGATAAGATATTTATATAATGGACAGTGTCTTAAACAAATTCTAACTTCTGAGCAGCCGCTTTCTCACTACTTCCGGCTTCAGTTGAGGGACAGGGAAACTGCTTCCTCTTTGTGCTAGGGCCAAGCAGATGTTAAGCTTTACCCAGCAAGACAAGATTTCCAGGTGGTTAATTAGCTCTTCGTTGTCTTAATGTCCTGGAACTTGTTCCTGACCTACTCTCATGCAGTTATAATTAATTCCCAGATTGCCTTTCCTAAAAGAGACTGAGAAAGAACGATGCAGGAAGAAGTATATTTCTGAGGGGCAGGAGAAAGGATTGAGATATAGTATGATTTTCTATGCAGACTTGTTCAGACACCAAGTCCAAGCCATCTTTCTTACTGGAAAAGTCCATGGAATCATCTGTCAAGTACATCAACAAGAAATTTCCCAACGTAGATGTCCGAAACAGCACGGTGAGAATTCAGTCCTTCTTTTTTCTTATTTCTGAAATAACTCTATGCTTGAATGGCTCACATTCTGACCTCTAACTACTGTTCTATCTTAGTGGGGTATGGAGTAGCCTTCTTTCAGTTTTCCTAGACTCAATCACAGGGTTTCAGGTAGGAATGTAGATTTAGGTCTTGAGAACTCTGAGATAAGATGGCAGTCTCTCAAGGTAAGCTAGAGTAAAGCATTACCCCTTTCTCCATTGCAAGATTCATGAGAGCACTGTGCTTGTAGAGGAAGATAGCTAACCAACCCAGCAGCATGAAAATATTTTATTGTCCTTCCTGTTTCCTACTCAGTGTTTCCTCACTACGTGTCTTAGAATTATGTATCTACTAGGATATCCCTTACTTTTTCCTTACTAAATGGTAGCCCTAGATTTCTTTCCTTTTTTTTTTTTTTTGATACTGGGGATTGAACTTGGGACCTTGTGCTTTTGAGGCAGGTGGCTGAACCACTGAGCTACATTCCCCGGCCTGCTTCTTTTTACTTTGATATAAATAATAAGCCTCTTCAGCTGAAACGGGCCTTGAAATTTTCTCTATTTTAGCCTTCTCTGTCTAGTCAAAATCACCAGGCACCATATTGCTACATAGAGACTCAGTTTAAAGAAAATATTGGAGAGGTTGTAGCTCCTCTGTCAGTTTATTTCAATCCTCTAAGAATGTTTTGGTATTATCCCTATTCTTGAGTTACTTTGATTAATTGTCTTTTTATTTAGCATTTTTTGTTTTGTTTTGTGTTTCAGCAACATTTAGGACCTGTACATCGAGAAAAAGCTGAGATAATCAGATTCCTCACCAACTACTACCAGTCATTTGTGGATGTTATGGAATTTCGGGTGAGCTGTTTCTAGCCCAAGTTCCCAACATAGTGTAGTCTTTCAGAAGTGATTCTTTCTTTAGTATATGTTCATTTATATGAACATCTTAATACAGATTCTTGAAAAAATAAGAGAGGTGGACCCAGTGGAAAGATATCTAAGTTGTAGTAAAAGCAATTTGCAGAATAACATGTGATACAACATATTTTTTTTTAATTTGGTGCTGTAATGAGCCCAGGAACTCTTACATGCTAGGCTCTACCACTGAGCTACACCCTAGCCCATTTTATTTTATTTTGAGACAAAGTCTCATTAAGTTGTCCAGCTCTTCTTCAACTTACAATCCTCCTGCCTCAGTCTCTCAAGGAGCTGGGATTATAGAAATGTGCCAGTGTGCCTGGCTCACAGTTTGATTTTTTTTCTTTTCATCAGTACATTTAAGATATTCATAATGATAACATTCATCATAGAGAATTTGTATCTGTACATGGTACAGTATATCTTTTTTCTTTTTTTCCAATTCCCCTCCCTTCCCTTCAACCCCACCTCCCCTCCTTATTTACAAAAGCTTTGTTTCCATTTTTTACTTCTATTCTCTTTTTCTTTCTTGTGTCTTCTTTCCTTCCCCCTTCCCCTTTCCTTGTTCCCCTCCTCATTTGCATATTTTCTTTCCATTTCCCAATATCTTATATACATTTTGGTCCTTATCTTACACTTTCGTTTTCTCATACCAGAGAAACAATACAGTATTTAAACATGTATGTCTGATTTATTTCACTTAAGAGTGTGGTCTCATGGCCGGGGATTTAGCTAAGTGGTTCAGGTGCCTGCCTTGCAAGTGGAAGGATCTGAGTTCGATCCCCGGTACCAAAACAAGAAAACAAACAAACAAAAGAGTATGGTCTCAAAGTGCGTCTATTTAGCTAAAAATGTCTCAAGCTTGTCCTTCTTTATGGCAGAGTAGTACTCCATTTAACCTCAAGTTTTAGTTTTTTGAAGAATCTCTACACCCATTTCCGCAGTGGTTGCAACAATCTATACTCCTGCCAACAGTGGAGAAGGGTTCCTTTTTCTCCACAGCCCTGCCAGTATTTGTTATTGGTTGATTTTTTGATAACAGCCATTCTTTCTGGAGAGAGATGGAATCTCAGTGTTGTTTTAATTTGGATCTCTTGAATGACCAGTGATGTTGAACATTTTTTTCATATATTTATTTACTGTTTCTACTTCTTTACCTGAGAGGTGTCTATTCATTTCAGATGCCCATTTTTGGATTGGGTCTTTAAATTTGGGGGGTCTGATTTAGAGTTCTTTATATAGTCTAGATAGTAGATAGTAGCTGTTTTGAAAACGAGCTGTTAAAAATTTTTTCCACTCTGGGTTGTCTCTACACTCTGTTGGTGTTTTCTTTTGCTGTGCAAAAGCTTTTTAGTAACATGAGATCCCAGTTGTTGTTCTTTGTGATAGTTAACATGTGACCAAGGTTTTGTTCATAAAGTCTGCTCCTATGCCAATATCTTCAAGAGCTCTACCAAAAAAAAAAAAAAAAAAAGAGTTCTACCTAACCAAAGGGCTGGGGATTTGGGGATTTAGCTCAGTGGTTCCGCCGCCTGCCTTGCAAGTGCAAGGTCCCAAGTTTGATCCCCGGTACCAAAAAAAAAAAAAAAAAAAAAAAGAGTTCTACCTAACCTATCTTCCAGCAGATTTAGTGTTTCTGTTTTGATATTTACATCTTTGATCTATTTCAATTTTAGTTTAGTGCATGATGATAGATGTGGGTCTAGTATTAATCTTCAGCAAGTTGAAACCCAGTTTTTCCAGCACCATTTATTAATTTTTTTTTTTCCGGTACCAGGGATTGAACTCAAGACCTTGTGCTTGCCAGGCAGTCATGGTGCCAATGAGCTAAATCCCTGGCTCCTTCCAGCACCATTTATTAAAGAGGCTATCTTTCTTCCAGTGAAGGTGTTTGGCTCCTTTGTCAAAGATTAGGTGGCAGAGTATGTCTGGAGTTGTTTCTGCATCTTCCAATCTGTTCCACGGATCCTTAGGTCTGTTCTTTTGCCAGTACCATGGTGTTTTTGTCACAGTAGCTTTGTGGTATAATTTTAGGTCAGGGATTGTGATGCCCCCTGCCTTGCTTTTGTTGCCCAGAATTACCTTTGCTATTGTAGGTCTCTTCTGGTTCCAAATGAATTTTAGGATTGTTTTCTCTAATTCTGTGAGATACGCTGTTGGAATTTTGATCAGGATTGCATTAAAACTACTTAACTGTTTTGGGAATGTGGCCATTTTTCACTATATCGGTTCTTCTTACCCAAGAACAAAGGATGTCTTTCCATTTTCTGATATTCTCTTAGATCTCTTTTTTCAGAGTACTGTTGTTTTCAAAATAGAAGTCTTTTACTTCCTTTGTTAGATTGATTCCTAGGTATTTCATTTTTGGGAATGCTACTGTAAAAGATGTTGTTTCCCTAATTCCTCTCTCATTGAGTCTGTTATTTGTGTACAGGAAGGCTATTGATTTTTGAGTGTTGACCTTGTATGGAGCTACTTTACAGAATTTGGTAATTAAGTCTACAAATCTCTTGGTGGAGTTTTTGGGGTCTTCTATATAGAGTATCATGTCATCTGCAAATAATGACAATTTAACTTCTTCCTTTCCTATCCTTATTTCTCTTATTTCTTTCTCTTGTCTAATTACTCTGGCTAATGTTTCTAGAACTGCATTGAAACAGAGTGGTGATAGTGGACATCCTTGTCTTCCTGATTTTAGCATGAAAGATATCAGTTTTTGCCTTAGTATGATGTTGGCTGTGGGTTTGTCATAGATGGCTGTTATCAGATTGAAATAAAACCATCTATTCTGATTTTCTGTAGGGTTTTTGTCACGAATGGATGTTAGACTTTGTCAAATGCTTTTTCTGCATCTGTTGAGATGATTATATGGTTTTTGTCCTTGGCTCTGTTAATATAGTGTATTACATTTATTGATTTATGTATGTTGAATCATCCCTGCATCCCTGAGATGAATCCCACTTGGTCAGGGTGTATGATCTTCTTGACAATCATCTGCATTCTGTTTGCCAGTATCTTATTGAGGGTTTTTTCATCTACATTCATTAGGGAAATGGCCTATAGTCCTCTTTTTCTGGCTGGGTCCTTCTCTGCTTTTGGAATCAAGGTAATGTTTGCTTCCAGGAATGAATTTGGGAGCTTTGCTTCCCTTTCAATTTCATTAAAGAGTTTGAGGAGTAGTAGAATTAGGTCTTCTCTAAATTTTTTGTAGAATTCAGCAGTGAAGCCATCAGAACCTGGGATTTTCTTTGTTGGTAAGTTTTTAATTACATTTTCAATTTCACTGACTGATATTGGGTTATTTAGAATTTGTATATCTTTTTGGTTCAGCTTTGGTAATGCATATGTATTTAGGAAACTGTTCATTTCTTGTTTTCTTTCTTATTAGAATACAGGTTCTCGAAGTAGGTATTGATGATCCTCTGGATTTCTGCAGAATCTGTTGTAATTTCACCATTTTCATTCTTTTTTTTTTTTTGGTACCAGGGATTGAACTCAGGACCTTGCGCTTGCAAGGCAGGCAGAGGAACACTGAGCTAAATCCCCGGCCCACTTTTTCTTTTTTTTTGATAAGGTTGGCTAAAGGTTTGTCAATTTTATTTAATCTTTCACAGAGCCAACTCTTGGATTCACTTATTTATTTATTTTTGTATCATTCTCCTAGTCTCCATTGCATTGATTTCTACTCTGATCTTTATAATTTCCTCTTTTGTATGGCTTTGGGTTTGTCTTGCTCATCTTTTTCTAGAAGCTTGAAGTTCAACATTAGGTTGTTTATTTGAGCTTGCTCTGTTTCCTTAGTATGGGCATTCACTGCTATGAATTTTCCTTGTAGGACTGCTTTCATTGTGTCCCATAAATTCCGGTATGTTCTATTGGCATTATCATTTAATTGTAGAAACTGTCTGATTTCTTCTTTAATTTCATCTGTGCAAATTTCATCTGTGACCCATGGGTTGTTCTGGAGGGTGTTATTTAATTTCCATGTGTTTATGAAGTTCTTGTGGTTTCTTTTGCTATTGATTTCTAATTTCTTTGCAATATGATCTGATAACATGAATGGGATAACTTAAATTGTTTTGCATCTACTTAAGCATGTTCTATGAGCTAGCATGTGGTCTATTTCGGAGGACATCCTTTGTGCAACTGAGAATGTATATTCTGATGTTGTGAGGTGGAACACTCTGTAGACATCTATTAAGTCCATTTGTTCAAGAGTTTGGTTCAGTTGTAATATTTCATTGTTGATTTTTTGTCTAGTTGATCTATTTGTGACAGTGCAGTATTGAAGTCCTGCATCACAATTCTACTAGTGCTTATTTGCTTTTTCATGTCTGTTATTATTTGTTTTATATAGTTGGATGGACTGGTATTTGGTGCATATTTATGATTGTCATCTCTTTCTCTTGGATTGTTCCTTTTATTAGGATGTAGTGATCTTCTTTGTCTCTCTTAATTAGTCTTGGCTTGAAATCCACTTTGTCTGCAAATAGAATAGCTACTTCTGCTTTTTTTCCAGGTTCCTGTCACATGGAATATTGTTTTCCATCCTTTGACTTTCAGTCTTTGAATTTTTTTCTGAATTAAGTGTGTTTCTTGTATGCAGCATATTGTTGGATCTTGCTGCTTCTTTTTTTTTTTTTTCTTTCATCTTTTTTGGTACCAGGGATTGAACTTGGGACGTTGCACTTGCAAGGCAAGCAGCGGAACCACTGAGCTAAATCCCCAGCCCCTGGATCTTGCTTCTTGATTCATTCTGCCAGTCTATTTTTTTTGATTGGTGAATTGAAACCATTGACATTAATGGGCATAACTGATATGTATTGGCTTATCCTTGGAAGACTTTCCTTCCTTTTTAAGGTTGAATAATCTTCCTTTGTATGGATATGCTACTTTTGCTGATCTGTTTATCTGTCAATGATCTGGGTAGCTTCTACATTTTAGCTGTTTGAATAATGCTGCTATGGACATTGGTTGTTCAACTATCTCTTTAATACTTTGGTTTTTAATTCTTTTGGGGATATAGTAAAGACATGGGATTGCTAGATTATGTAGTCTTTAACTGTCTTTAACCTTTTGAGGAACTGGCATAGGGGTCGTACCATATTATATTCCAGCAACAGTGCACAAGGTATACAGTTTCTCTGTATTCTTGTCAACTTTCTGTGTGTGTGTGTGTGTGTGTGTGTGTGTGTGTGTGTATGTGGCATGTGCTGGGGACCTTACATTTATTAGGCAAGAGTATTACCACTGAGCAACATCTGCAGGCTTGTTTTAGACTGATTTCATTTCCTTAATAAGTAGTGAGTCAAGCATGTTTTCATGTTCTTGCTGGCCACTTAAATTTCTTTGGAGAAATATCTATTTCAGGTCCTTTGACTATTTTTTAATTGATTTTGTTGTTGTTGTATAGTTTATATAGAAAACTCCTAAAACTCAACATTTTTGCATTAGTTGAATTAAAACAAATTTTTATTGTGTGGCTTTGTAATACAGAATAACATGATTCATTTTGGTATATTGGTATAAGCACATAGCACTTTTTTTTTTTTTTTTGTTACTGGGGATTGAACTCGGGTCCTTGTGCTTGCACAGCAGGCAGCGAATACACTGAGCTAAATCCCCGGCCAAAGTTTTTTTGGGTCCTAGGATGACTGGTTAAAGGTAATTTTTTTTTTTTTTTTGTACCGGGGATCGAACTTGGGTCCTTGCGCTTGCGCAGCAGGCGGCAAAACCACTGAGCTAAATCGCTGGCTCTGTACATAGCACATTTTAATTGTTTTCATCCCCAGTACCTACTTCTCCCTTTCCTCTCCTCCCCAGTGTAAAAATTTAAAAGTATTTGCCTCAACATTTTATTACAAACCTACTAAAAATTTTATGAGTCATAGAGGTTGATCTTTTCTAATCTGAAACTCTGAAATCTGAAGTCTTGAGCACTGACATGACATCACAAGTGAAAATTCCACATCTGACCTTGTTTGACCTCATTCTACTACTACGTTGTAGTAATCAAAACATAGGCACACTAAAAATATTGTATAAAGTTACCTTTAGGCTGTATGTATAAGGTATATATGAAAAAAAATGAATTTTGTTTTTTGATCTGGGACCTATTTTCAAGATATATGTACATGCAAATATTTTCAAACCTGAAAAAATATGAAATATGAAAGACTTTTGGTTCCAAGCATTTTGGATAAGGGATGCTCAACCTGTAAAAGAACATTGTTCTACTCTTCTCCTGAGTTTCCTAATTGTTAGTATTTTGACATATTTGCTTATTACTTTTTTTTTTTTTACTTAGTTGCTGATGTCATGACATTTTCTTCCCAAAATATTTTAGCATACATCTGCTAAGGACAAGAATATTTTCTTACATAATCTTAATGCAATTATTGTACTGTGGGAATATAACACGGCTACAATGTTATTGGCTAATACGTAGCCCATTTTACAATTCTCCAGTTGTCTCAAGGATTGTATTTTGGATTTAGTTATTTCTTTTTAGTTTAGTTAGATTCTTTTAAATTTAGAATCTAGAACTACAGCTTTTGTTTGTCTTTTATGACGCTGACCTTTTTTGAAGAGTCCATGGTAGTCATTTTTCAAAACATCCCTGAGGGCTGGGGATTTAGCTCAGTGGCACCATGCTTGCCTCAAAAGCACAAGGTCCTGAGTTTGATCCCTGGCACACACACACACAAGAATCCCTGAATTTGGATTTGTCTTGTTAAAAGTTTTTGGTAGCAATATTATATGGGTGATATTTTACTTTTGCTGAGAACTATTCCATTGTATTAATACAATTTGTTGATCTCCTTACCTGTTGATAGAGATTTGAGTTGTTTCCAGTTTTGGGCCATTATGAATAAGTTGCTAGAAACATTCAAGTACAAATGTTTGTGGGGACTTATTTTTCATTTCACTTGGATAAATCATCTAGAAATTGAACTGCTGAATCATATGATGAGTATGTTTAACTGTTTTGTTTTTTCTCTTCTTAGATTGTCATAATTGTACATATTTATGGGATACAGTGTGATAATTTGATACATGCATACAGTTTTAGTGATCAAATCAGGATAATTAATATTTCCATCATTTCTTTGTGCTGGAAACATTTGAACTCCTCTCTTCTAGTTCTTTATAAAAGAGAATGTTTAATTTTATAAGAAGCTGCCAAATTTTTTTCAAAAATGTCTATTTTACTCTGCAAGGAATGGGACACAGGAATGATAAGATCAAAGAGTGTGTGTAATATAGTAGTGACTTGTGCCGTGGACACACGGGCATTTGGCAGGGTAATCTGACAGAGACCACTAATGACTTAACAGAGACTTAACAGGGGAGAAACTTTCTTCTTTTTTAAACAATGCCTCCCTAAGGGAGTGGGCCCTTTCCTTCAAATTCTAATAGTATATGTCACTTTCTTTTTATTCTTTATTTACACTCATCTTAAATTCTACTTCCAGGATCATGTATATGAACTTCTCAACACCATTGATGCCTGCCAGTGCCATTTTGATATTGTAAGGTCCTTTGCAATTTTTTTCTACCGTAGAATAGAATTAAGAAAAGGCCAGCTCTATGTTGGGGCAGTGTGGGGTGGGGTGGGATGAGACTAGAAGAATGGCCATTTCATTTGTTCCTTCTCAGAACCATGATTCTTTTGTAAAGTTCTGAAGTTACAATGCACTTACATGTGAAGGAGATAAGCAGTGTGACTTAATTAATACAAAAATTAAAAATCTTTTACTGTGTCTCCTCCAACCCCCAAATGCTACCTCAGTTCCTGGCCTTCTTGTATCTTAAACTCATATTTAGCACTTGAATCTTGTTTCTATTTTTCTTCTTCTGAATTTTTAACCTTGTTAGTCCCTACTTGTATGTGGACCCATTCAGAGTCTATTTTAGTACTTTCTGGAATGATTGAGGAAATAAGGAGATCCAGACTACATGGTCATGCTGTCCTTGGACCTTGTATTTTCCTTTAGAATCTCAACTTTGACTTCACTCGAAGTTACTTGGACTTGATTGTGACTTATACCTCAGTTATTTTGCTTCTGTCGCGAATTGAGGATCGACGGGTACTCATTGGCATGTACAACTGTGCCCATGAAATGCTGCATGGCCACAGGTGAGTTAAGAGGTTACATGGTGCTGTAAAGTAGGGGTAGGTACAGAAGAAATAGATGTCATGGTGTCTCATATGAGAACATGCAATCTACATGATGACCCAGGCAAGATAAGGTATATTTTTATATATAGTTAACTCTTGAATATTTGTCAGTGGATTATTCATTTTGTATTATCTCTGATCAATTTTTAATCCTAGATTGGCTTCTAATCTGCTTTTCAGGTTATTAGAAAAGGGAAAGACAATTCTTTTTAGTATTAGTAGAAATATTAGGCCACACGTTTGGAAATAAGTATGTATGATAATACATTTGAAGACAAATATAAATGAATTTTGGATTATCTGCAATTTTGTTCCTCCTTCATTAGTTCAAATATAAGTATTATTGGCTGAAAAATGAAGACCAGAGGAATTAGAGTGGGATGTGGCAGGTCATTGTATGTGTGATGCACATTCCTGTGTATCTACGTGGGTACCTCAGCACATGCCTTTCCCGTTAGCTTCGAATATTTATGTACCCTTTTGAGTTGGATGCATATTTAGGTCCAGGCATATTGCTTGATTTCTAAGTAACTGACACAAATTTATCAAGTACTTATTATGTATCCAACCCTGTTTTGCTTAAAAGAAAGAAACTTTCATGGGCCCACCTCAAATTGTATGATTCTGTTTAACCATAGCTTAGTATACATGCATGGGGAGTGGGTACCAGTATATGTAATTCACAGTTTAGTGTGTCTGTCTTTGGAGCTGGTGGGGAATGCCAGTGTATGCAAACATCTTTGTCCTTTATACAAACACATGCATTTACATCAGGGTCAAGGCCGATAACTCCTCTCTGCTCTGCTTTCTTCTAGTGACTCCAGTTTTGCTCGTTTGGGTCAGATGGTTTTAGAATATGACCACCCTCTGAAGAAGCTGACAGAAGAGTTTGGCCCTCACACAAAGGCAAGCTCACTGAGAGAGTGGAGAATTCTGCAGGCGGAAGTATTTGTTCCCATTTTTTGCATTAAGGATTCATTTGCCTTTTCCCACAGGCAGTGAGTGGAGCCCTTCTCTCTTTGCATTTCCTCTTTGTCCGGAGGAACCAGGGGGCTGAGCAGTGGCGCAGTGCCCAGCTTCTCAGTCTCATCAGCACTCCCCCAGCCATGATTAACCCTGCTCACTCGGACACAGTAAGTTCCCTTTTCCTTCTATTTACCAAGGCCATCTCCACAGAAGGTACCTCTTTCAGAAAATGTCAGCCCTAAGAATCTAGCCCTCTCATAGAACATGCCTCTAGGTCGATCACTTCTTATAGCAAAACGTCATGATTGGGTTGCAGCCTCTGCTTGGACCAGGATTAATGTGTGCCTGGTCATAAAAGGAATTCAATAGATATGTGTAGGATGAATGAACAAATGGATGAAACTCAATCATTAAGCACTAGTAGGAACTTGAGTTTAGCAATCATTTAAAATGTTTTTACTCAACTACTACGGGCCCAAAGTCCTTCCCTCAAAGAACTTGTAGTCTAAATTGGGTGTAGTGGCACGTGCCTGTAATCCCAGCTCTCGGGAGGCTGAGGCAGGAGGACTGCTGTGAGTTCGAGGCCAGCCTGAACTACATGTGAGACCCTATCTCAAAAATATAAAACAAAACAAGGGCGAAGGATTTAGCTCAGTGGTTCTGCTGCCTGCCTTGCAAGTGCAAGGTCCTGAGTTTGATCCCTGGTACCAAACAAAAAACAAAAAAACAAAACAAAGCTTAGTCTAGTAGAGAAGATGTCATAAAAACACAACTGATGGTATAAGATTATTGATAAGCACCAAATGAATAATTTATGTTTATGATTTACAGTTTATAAGGTAAGAGAATCTAAAGGAGGAAGAAATCACAGGAAGGTTTTGAATCTTGTTCTCTTGTTATTAAAAATATCTGAACTGGGCTGGGGATTTAGCTCAGTGGCACTGCATCAGCCTTGCAAGTACATGGTCGTGAGTTTGATCCCCAATACCAAAAAAGAAAGTATCTTAACTGTTGAAGAGAGGTTAAACCTTTTGTTTTGTGCTGACTTTCAGTCTCAGCTCCTTTTCCTTTTTTCAACTGTCCTTTTTTCCCTTAGTCTGCTTCAAGGGCCTCCCTTCCATTAATGACAGGATTCCCTGCTATTGGTTTATCCATGAGTCCTAACCTGGTGTGTTAAAACAGCATATGTTCGTGTGTGTGTGCATGCGTGTATGCGTGTGTGTGTTGGTGCTGTGGATTGACTCAAAGGCCTTGCATATGCTCGGCAGGTCCTCGATACTTGAGCTATGTCCCTAGGCCCAAAAGTTGATACTCAGCTTCTAGATTGAATTTTCTTCTTCAGGAGAAGACTAGGTTAAACAACCGCATGACCACTTCTGCCTCTCTTCTCACAGATGGCTTGTGAGTATCTGTCTGTGGAAGTGATGGAGCGCTGGATTATAAGTGAGTTTGTGGGATTAGGTGGGGATAGGTGTAGCAGCATCTTACATGGGGACCAAATTCTAACAGCCTTCCTCTGCACTCTCTACCCACCTGCAGTTGGATTTCTTCTCTGTCATGGGTGCCTCAACTCCAACAGCCAGTGCCAGAAGCTGTGGAAGCTGTGTCTGCAGGGCTCCCTGTACATCACCCTCATCCGGGAAGATGTACTGCAGGTGCACAAGGTCACCGAGGACCTGTTTAGTGGTTTGAAAGGGTGAGAGGCATGAGAACCAAACTGATCTTTTGGGGGCTCTTAGCCCCTCCCAACAGCCATTTTTGGTCTCTGTGTTTCAAGTATGGGTGGTAAGAGTTAATTCTAACTGTTGAAGAAATACTTTCTATTTACTATGCGCTTCACTCTTTGCTAAAATAGTTATCAAATACCTACAATTTTAGGGATTCAATAGTTGATAAGATAACATAGAAGTTAAAAGCTTGGACTCTGAAACCAGACTGTCTAGGTTTGAACTCAAGCACTACCATTTACTAGCTGTGTGTCTTTAGGCAAGTTACTTAATTTCTCTGTGCATTGGGTCAATTTCCTTACCTGTAAAATGTGGGATAGTAGTGCCTCCCCTATGACTGACCTCACAGGGTTATAAAGAATGAAAGAGTTATTTGTGAAACATGTAGAAAAGAGCCTGGTACATTAAGTGTACTGTGCTTGTTAAATAAAAGGCAGAATCTCTGTTTCTGAGGAGTTTACAAATTGTTGGAAAATAGGCAAACCGTTGTTATAGAGTAGGAGATTCTGGTATATAAACACAAAGTGCTATGGAAGCATTTAGGACACTTAAACTGGATCTAGCAGGATCCAGAAAAACCCAGAGACAGGTAGACCTGAGTTAAACCATTGAAAAGTACATGTGTGATGGGGAGAAAGCCAGGGGAGTTGCCTAAAGCAGAGAAAGGTATTCTAGGCAGAGAAACTATCAAGATTTTTGAGGCCAGGGAGAACATGCATGGCAAATGCTAAGACTCTCATGTGGTTCAGTGTGTTGACTGCTCATGGAGAACATGTGGAGTGAGAACAAGCAACAAACCTCTGGACACATTGCTATTTAAGGGCCAGGGAGAGACAAAAAGACCAACAAGGGACAATGAGAAAAAAAAAGGGAAAACAGAAGCCCAGGGAAGAACATATTCCAGGAAGGAAGGACTGGTTATCCATATTAGATGATGTTAAGAGAGCAAATAAAATGAGGATTGAAAAAGTTCATTGGATTTGGCTATACAGATCATCTTAGTGCTCTTCTTATGAACAACTTCCATAGAGTAGTGAGGTTCAAGGAAGGGTTGCAGTGGATTTAGGAGCAAATGGGAGCTAAGGAATTCAATAAGACTGTGAAGAGAAGAGAGAGCTATAATGAGGAGGAGGTGTGGGGTTAAGGAAAGGGGTCCAATTACCTATATTATTTTTAGTGGCAAAGATAACGTCCAGGAATGAGAAAAACACAAACTAAAAATTGGCTACAATCTCACTTCCCTGAATAGTTTGATGTCCATCCTCCAGATGCTTGTGTATATGTGTATGCATGTATGCAGGCTCATATATAAACATACAAAAATGTGCATATATTTTCAACCTTAATGAGTAATTTTATTTATTTTTTTAAGAAGATAAATTTAAAAAAATTTCCTTCATTAATTTAATTTTATTTTTTTTCCTTTTATTGGTACATTTTAGGTATACAATATAATGACATTCATCATTGGAGATATGCATCTTTACATACTCTCTTGGTTCTTATTTTTCCCCCTTCCCCTGCCCTCCCTTCAACCCCTCCATCCCTCCCTATTTACAAAGACTTTGTTCCCATTTTTTCATTTTCTCATATTAATTCCATTCCCTTCTTTCCTTTCCCCTACCCCTCCCACTTCCCCTTCCCCTTCACCCCTTTTCTTCCTATTTCACATTATCTATTACACCTTTTAGTCCTTATTTATACTTCCAGTTTCTCACACTAGAGAAACTATTCGGTATTTACACATGGGTGTCCTGTTTATTTCACTTAAGAGTATCACCTCAATGTGCATCCATTTAGCAATAAATGTCTCTAATTTCTCATTTTTGATGGCTGAGCAGAATTCCATTAAATGAGTAATTTTTAAAAAGCAATGGGTCTACATTCTATTTATGCCTAGAGTTCACTTATTTTTCTTACTGCATTTTGGATATCTTTGAATATCAGTCTATAAAGATTTATTCTTTCTAGTAGTTGAAAAATATTCCATTTTGTGGTTGTAACATAATTTATTTGCCCAATCCCATTGACGGATATTTGAACTGTTTCCCTTTTAAAAAATCATTGTAAACAAATATTATAACAAAAAACCTTAGACATATATATGTATATATAAAATTTTTTTTTTTTTGTACTGAGGATTGAACTCAGGACCTTGTGCCTGCAAGGCAGGCACAGCACCACTGAGCTAAATCCTCAGCCCCTTAGACATATATCTTCATGAACCTATGTGAATGTGTCTATAGGGTAAATTCTCAGATGTGGAATTGCTAGGGTAAAGGTTATACACATGTCAAATTTTAATAGCTTTTATAAAATTGCCCTCCAAACAAATTGTATTTTCAACAGTCTAGCTGGGGATATAGCTTGGTGGTTCTGCCACCTGCCTCGCAAGCACAAAGTCCTGAGTTGAATCCCTGGTACCAAAAAAAAAAAAAGGAAACAGTCTATGTGAATACTGATTCCTCCATAACTATATAGTATTATTATTAGAAAAAATTACCTAAAGAGGAAAAAAATAAAGAGAAAAAATATAAAAATATAAAAGAACAAAGAAATAACAAAAATAAAGTTAAAAAAATAATTGCCAAGCCACATTAGTGGTGCATACCTTTAATCCCAGCACTCTGGGAGGCTGAGGCATATGATCACAAGTTCAAGGTCAGCCTGGACAACTTAGTGACTTAGCAAGACCTTGTCTCAAAAAATAAAAAAAAGGTCTGGGGATATAGTTCAGTGCAAAGTCCTTGGGTTCAATTCCCAGTATTGCAAAAGAAAAAAAATCATTGCTAGAGTTAAGAGCCAGTAAATCTAAGATTAATAATTAAAAATCACAGGGGGTGGATTTGGGTATATGTGAAAAAAATTTTCTAATGATTACCACTTTCTTTTTGATTACCACTTTTTTTTTCTGGTACTGGAGATCAAACTCAGGACCTTTTGCTTGCCAGGCAGGTGCGGTGCCACTGAGCTACAAGGTGCAGTGCCTTGATTACTACTTCTAAGGAATGGAAGAAATATTTGAAGACTGTGTAGTTCCCTGTCACTAAGATCAGAAACTAATACATATGATTTATAGTTTAGGGAGTTCTTTGACATAAATGATCTATTTTGATCTTTATAACTCACATATAAGTAATAATACATATTTTTTTGTTAATGAGAAAATGAGAGGCTCAGTCTCAATGTCTCTCAGTTAATAAGAGGTGGAATTATGGATTTTTTTTACCCTTAATATCCTGTCTCCTTCCTTTGTATTATGTAAAGTTTGAAATAATTAGCCATCAGGAACAATATAGAGTTGAGTTCTGATTTAATTAAGATAATTTGAACTCTAAACTTCCTGTGATTTGTCCTAAATTCAGTAAGGGAGCGGTTTGGAGAGGGGACATGAGAAGTTTTGAAGTCCCATTAATGTGGTGGCAAAAGTGATTCAAAGGCATTGATATAGAACACAGAGCAGAGTCTCTGGTACTCCTGGGAATCCAAGCATAGCTCACTAGTAGAAAGAAAGAGATATGGCCAAATATTACCAACAAACAAACCACAAATGATGAAAAGTCTTTAATTTGGTGATTCAAAAGTTCATACTGACCTCCAAGAGAGCAATTTGTTAAGTGTCAAAGGCCTTGTGGGATTCAAAGGTCACTGAGAGGGGAAGAGGGCAAAAGGGAGTTTCTTTGGAGGAGTTTGGTGGCATGGGAGAGTGGGCAAAAGTTCAGGGGATTGTCAGGGTTAAGTGAGAGGATTTTTAGGAGGGAATCTTTGAACTTATGTGTTGGGAGAAGAGAATAAGTTAACAGAGAGGAAGAGATTAAAGCGGTAAAGGGATAACCAGTGAAGTTAAATTTCAAGAGGAAGTGGGTGGGAATGGGACCCAGAGCTGGGTTTGTGTGATATTTGTGCAGTGCTTCTTTGATCCCACTCAAACCTGGAAGAGGGCCTTGACTTGAAGGTGTGAAGGTAGGAACAGAGGACAAGAAGAGAAGTGTAGTGGGGCCAGGGATTTAGCTCAGTGGTGCAGCTGCCTGGCTTGCAAGTAAGTGCAATGTCCTGAGTTTGATCCCCAGTACCAAAAAAAGAAAAAGAAGAGAAGTGTAGCTCAGCTTTGCCATTAGATCCCTATGTGATCTTGGGCAGTTATTTTTTTGGGCAGTTTGCTAGTTATTATTATTTTTTTGGTATCGGGGATCGAACTTGGGACCTTGTGCTTGCAAGGCAGGCACTGTGCCACTGAGATAAATCCCTGGCCCCTATTTTCTTTATCTACAGAATAAAAAGATAGAACAGAATGATCTATATATAAATGAAGTTCTGTAAGTCCTTTATTAATGAACCTGGGGGAGAAGTATGTGTGAAAAGGTCCTGCTGCTGAGGGGTGCCTGTGCCTCCCTAGCCAGTAGGCTGGAATCTTTGAGGATGAGAACAAAGCCCTAGCTGGCATTGTTGTCAACCCTGATGTGCTTGTCAATCTTCAGGTATGGCAAGCGTGTGGCAGATATCAAGGAGTGCAAGGAACATATGATTGCAAACAGGTAAATGTGGGGAATGGGCTCTGGGAGAAGGGATGGACTAGGAATCTCTTCTGACTTGCTCTTACCCAAGCCACTGTGAGTTTCCCTACAGACCTATTTCTTCAACCTCAGAACCACTGCTGTCCCACAGATTCTTGCATTTTCTCTCTAAAGCTAACATTGGCCTTGAACCATATTCCAGCCTGCTACCCCTTCCTAAACACAGCTCTCTTCTGGTCTGCATGTGGAAGATATAAAAAGAAGAGGCAGGCAATATTCATTACTTTCCACTTGCCTTCCTCAGTGGGCAGTTTCACTGTCAACGGCGGCAGTTTCTGCGGATGACTGTGAAGGAGCTGGAGACCGTGTTAACGGATGAACCAGGACTACTGGGTCCTAAGGCAAGACAGAAATGTTAGGAGGGATTGTGACCAATGATAAGGGACTCAGTGAGGGAGGGACTTGGCCTTCTCTAGATTTTGAGTCATGTGGTCTATTTGTATGGGTTTATGCTGATTTCTTGAATCTTGGAGTACTCATTGTATATCTGTTTATTTGGCAATATTATAGTATGTCGTGTAATGTAGCTATTTGTGCATTTGTCCTATCTTCTGTTTCAGAGTGAACTAATTGATGACAGAGCTTGCTTTTTTATTTTAAACCATATAAATGCTGAGTAAATATTTCTAAAATTTAATTTGGTGGGGGCAAGGAGGGTACTGACTATGAATGAGTGTCAACACATGTGCACGTCTGATTCTGTGTCGCATGCTTGAGGTGTTTTGTGGGTATGTGTGTTTATCACTGGACACTGTTGATAAGACTACATGACTGTGTCCATGTGCAGATTATCCTAGTAGTTTCCTCTATGCTTTGAAGTTCATTGATAAAGTTGAATGTTCTAATAATCCTTGTCTTCTCCTTAGGCCCTTTTTGCTTTCATGGCCTTGTCCTTCATTCGTGATGAAGTCACCTGGCTGGTTCGCCATACAGAAAATGTCACCAAGACAAAGACACCTGAAGACTATGCTGACTCGTTAGTACTTGACATAGTGAAAAACCTTACCCATAGATGGACTGGGAAAAAGGGTCAAGTGTCCTCAGGAGGTCTCAATTTGTGCCTTGTAATCATTGACTGTCTCATTCATATTTCTAGTCTCATGCCTCTTCTGTTCTCATCCTCACCTTTACAGGAGCATTGCAGAGCTACTTTTCTTACTGGAGGAGATCAGGGCTCTCGTGCGAAGACACATCAAAGTGATACAGCAATACCACCTTCAGTACTTGGCCAGATTTGATGTTCTTGTGCTCAGTGACATTATTCAGGTGTGTTTAGTTGATTATACTTTGGAAATTTCTAGGTGACCTCTGGTCATTTTCTTCTCAAAGCCATGCTGGCTGAATCTCATGCTTTGTAGACTGGGTACCAAAAAGACTTATTTCTTCCTTATATTTGTTAAAAAAATAAAACATGGGTAATTTCAGTAGTCTTTTTTCCCCGCTAAGTGATACTACATAAACATAGGCGAGAAAAATAAAGACAATTTGAATATTAACATGGGAGGGATCCCAGGAATTTCCCTCTGTCTCATCCTTGGCTCCTGCTTTTGGCACCTAGTATTTCTTCCTACCTTTATACACTTACTGAGCTGCAGTCCTAGTTTCTGTCTTGGTAGAACCTGTGCCCACTGACAGCAACTCCAACCTCTCTTTAGAACCTGTCTGTGTGTCCAGAGGAGGAGTCTGTCATCATGTCCTCATTTGTCAGTACCCTCTCCTCGCTGAATCTCAAACAAGGTAACTGTAGGGAGGTGGGGGAGTCAGGGCATATATGAAGGGTCAATATTTTTTTCTGAAGATACTGGTCTTTGAGCCAGGGAATAGGACAAGATGACTTTGAAGAGGACCTACCATTCTACACAGTTAGACTCTAGGATGCTGTTTTACTGTTTCCTTTCACACTTGCTTCTGTTTTTCTTGCAGTTGATAGTGGAGAGAAATTTGAATTCTCTGGATTGAGGCTAGACTGGTTCCGTCTTCAGGTAATGGTCTGTTTCTGTTAGTTGCCCTGTCCTCAGATTCTTCTTTCCTTTCCTATGTCCCCCCCCCCTTTTTTTTCCTGAGCTCTGCTTTATGATGAGTGAACCTTGAGAACTGATGACTAGATGGGACACACCCAGGCTAAACCCCAGTGTTAAGGCAGGGGTGCCGATTCATTCACCTTGTCTTCCCCACCTTCTTCCCTGTCACTGTCAGGCATACACCAGCGTAGCCAAGGCCCCCCTGCACCTGCACGAGAACCCTGACCTGGCCAAGGTGATGAATCTCATTGTCTTTCACTCTCAAATGCTGGACTCAGTAGACAAAGTGCTGGTGGAGACTTCTGACCTGTCTACTTTCTGGTATGTCCTGGTCTGGGCATCTTTATCAATTTATGCGATCTTTTTCCTGGCCTTTGTGGTCTATCGTAATTCCCCTAGAAATCTTGTTTCTTTACCTTCTTAAAGCAGATACTCAATGCCACAGCTCACCCATGGCAGCTTCTACCAATAATCCTCAGGGATGGGGTTGAGGATTGTGCCATATTTGTCCTTGTGAGGAAAGCTGCTTGGACTGGGGATTTAGCTCAGTGGTACCACACCTGCCTGGCAAGTGCAAGGTCCTGAGTTTTGATACCTGGTTTAAAAAAAAAAAAAAGAAAGAAAGCCTTTTGGACTTTACAGAACCTTCCCTTCTTTAGGCTTTTTCATCCATATGTCTTCTAGTCTTTTCTCATCTTCATTGTTTTCTTTGGAAACTTCTTCAACTTTTTTTTTTTTTATAAGCTCTTGGGACTTTCATTTAAAAGAAGCATAAAAAACTTGGAAGTTTAGGCTGGAGAATAGGACCTTTGGAAAATAAACATTTACTTGGTCTTCCATAGGTGACACCCAACAGTTATTAGGTAGCTACTTTTTTGTATAATTGTATTATTTCAAGGATTGCACAACAAAAACAAACAAAATACGATGTTTCTGTTCTCTGAAATCAATATAAATGGGGAGGTACAATACCCACATGTTAAAAGAACATCAACTTAACGGTTATAAATGTAAGAAAATGAAAAGAGAGTATATGAAATTGAGAGGATAGAGGATTGAGGAAAAATCAGTCTCATGGAATTAATTTAGGGAGGTTTATTGGAGCCTGTGTGTCAAACTTTGGGAGAAATGTGAATTTAGGATTTTTTTTTCTCTTTGAGAAAGGGTCTTACTATGTAGCTCAGGCTGGCCTTGAACTCACTGTGTAGTCCAGGCTGGCCTCGAACTCATGGCAATCCTCCTGTCTCAGCCTCCTGAGTGCTGGGATTACAGGTGTGCACTACCATGCCCAGCCAGATTTTTTTGTGTGTGTGTGCTGAGGATTGAACCCTGGGCCTCACACGTGGTAGACAAGTGTTGTATTACTGAGTATTTACCCAGTGCTGAATTTAGGACTTCTAAATTAGGAAAAATGGCCCAAATCATGCAACAGTTTTGAGGGCATAGCAAATTTTATGCAGGGAAAAGGAAGAAGATTATTACTAAACTTCCCTGGGGTTTATTGTAAAAGTCTGAAAGGGTTAAGTTTCTGTGGTTCCCTTCTCTCTCATGGGTAGGGAAATTAGGGGGAGTAGTGAATATTAATAAATATTTGTTGAAAGAATGAATATTATCTCCACTTCAAAGGGCCTAGCTCCTACATCTTGGCTTTAAGTCTCTTCCTCTTTCTCTGCAGCTTTCATCTCCGCACCTTTGAGAAGATGTTTGCTATGACCCTGGAGGAACCCACCATGTTGCGTTATGCCATTGCTTTCCCCCTCATTTGTGCCCATTTTGTCCACTGCACTCATGAGATGTGCCCAGAGGAGGTGGGTGTCCCGAACTCCAAGCCCTGGTATCTTTTTAGCCATCTCTGATCCTCATTATCTAAAACAAAACCCCAGGGGCAGGTTTTGGTCCTAAAAGGAATATAAGCATAGGTGTGTGACATGAGCATTTTAAGATCTCAGTTGATGTCGAGTTATCTTCCCTCCCTGGACCTCAGTTCCTTCTCTGGGATTGAGTAGCTCAGGCAAGGGGAGTCGAGCAGTATGATGAGGAAGCAATGGTTGTCCTGGTGATGACAGCTGCTCCCTTGGTCTTCCTCTTAGTACCCTCATCTGAAGAACCACAGTCTTCATCACTGCAATTCCTTCCTGGAAGAGCTGGCCAAGCAGACCAGCAACTGTGTCCTGGAGATCTGTGCTGAACAGCGAAAGCTGAGCAACCAGGTGGGCTCAGTCTGATCTTTCGGTCTCCTGCTCCCAGTGCCCTCTCTCTCCATCTTTGTTTTCCTCTCAGCTGTCAAGTTTTCTACCTCTTCCTCCAGCAGGGTGATGAGGGCTTTTGTGTACTTGCACTTATGGCTAGATTCCTTTCTTAGAGTAGTCTCTTCCACCCTTACTCCCTTAGGACCAGATAGAGTTGTCTAAAAATACTCCTATTTGAACAGCTGCACTCCAGCGTAATTGGTGTCCCATTTGAGGAGTTCCGGGAGATGGATTAATTTTCCAATTTACTCTCCTCCTGTCTGCCTGTGTACACATGCTTAGGGCAGTGGCCCCAGATCAACTGTCTTGTCTCATCTTTCTGTTCATCTGCACCCTAAGCTGCACTATCTGAATATCCTCAGGCCCCTCTTTTGTGTTTATCCTCATGACTGCTTTTTTGTCTTTGCCTTCTGGTTTTTCCCACTTCCCTCCCTTGACTGAGTCACAGCACCTGGTCATGATTAGCTCAACCTAAATTTCAGACAACTTGAAAATGAGGAAGTAGTTTTGCTGTTGCCCTGGAGTCTTAGATTTCCCAGACTTCCCACCCTTCCTGGGTTTGAGTCAGGCTTTGTATCAAATGTGGTAGAAAGGGAGCTGGTGTGTGTGTGTGTGTGTGTGTGTGTGTGTGTGTGTGTGTATCTGCATGTGTGCAGATAACACAGTTACATAATTACTTAACCTTTCATTTCCTCACATAAAGTGAGGACAAGAATACTTTCTTCACAGGGGTATCATAAAGATTAAATTAGAGTGTATGGAATATTTGGTATACTGCACTCAATACATGTTAGCTCTTTTTTGTTTGTTTGTTTGTTCAAATACCCTTGTGCTAGATGTTTGGCGTGAGAACCATCCTTGTGCTGGGGAATGTTCCAGTTTAAGGGAAAAGGAAATATAAATGCATGTTTGAAAGACATGTAAGTAATTACTACAAGGAAGATATGCAAATGAATATACTTACAGTATATTCATCAGTCAAGAATATTGACCAAAAGGATTAAGATGCAATATGTACATGTACCAACTACCCGCAATGAATGCATTCATTATGTATTGTACATATGTACTAATAAATTATTTTTAAAGTTAAAAGAAACTGAATATTGACCATATGCAAGGGGCACGGATAAAGAGATCTTCTCAGTGTGTATCAGGAATGATTAAACCATGATGTGAGTAATTATTTTCACAACATCAGAACTTTCACAACCAAATGAGTATTGGCCCTCTGGAAACAACATTTTGGGTAAATCATTAGTGATATCACTATTACTAATACAGTGACATTTTGGGAGACTGCTTTCAGAATTTACCACAGACATTTTTGCATTATCTCAGGGCTAATACGCCTTTGTTCTTCAAGATGGACTTGATTTCTTGGGAATAGTCCAGAGTTTGGATTTAAAGAAAGGAAGTGTGAATCCTGGCACTTTGGGAGGCTGAAAAGGGAGGATTGCAAGTTTGAGCCCAGCCTGGGCAATTTAGGGGCTTAGTGAGACCCTATCAAAACAAAAAAACAACAAAACAAAAAATAATATAAACAAACCCAAAGACAGTGCTAGGGATATAGGCTGATGGAAGGCCCTAGATTAGGTACCAAAAAAGAAAAAGTGCGAATATAAAGTAACAAAACTAGTTTTCTTGTGTAGTTCTTCTGTTGATCTAAAAGTAATTCTTGGGCCGGGGATGTAGCTCAGTGTTTTCGCTGCCTGCTGCGCAAGCGCCGGGACCCGCGTTCGATCCCTGGTACCAAAAAAAAAAAAAAAAGTAATTCTTGCTGAGGAGTTTCCAGACATGCTCTTCATGTGCGTTAACACTGGAATCAATGGAGGCAATTCCAAGGTGATTCCTTAATGATGATACCTGCATATCTGGTTTTATCTTCTGTTTTCTCTATGGCTAACTAGAGATGAGAAGAGATGCCAAACTGATGTTTAAGTGAACTGGAAAGAAATATATTTCAACAAAAGGAGTGGGAAGAGAATGTTGGCCACATTGTGAACTCTGAGTTTTGGAGAGCTGTGGGGGTGTAGGTAACTGTTTTCATGAGAAAGAATATAAAGAAATGTAGCAAGTGAGATGATTGTTCCATCTAACAAAAAAACAACTGTTTTCCTAAGGCTGGAAGACTATAGACAGAACAGCTGGGAGGAGTTCTTAGACCTTATTCTTTTTGCTTGAAATTTTCCATTAGGAAAGACTCTTAGGATGGGGTGGGGAGTGCCGTTCTGAATCTCAGTAGATTCTGCTGCCTTGAAACTTTGAGGCTGGGTGTACATGGGGAGAGATATATAAAAACCGACAAAGGTGAGCATGCTCCAAATAGGGCCCCATCAGAGCAAGAGAAGCAGAAAGATAAAAGAGCAGACCATAATGGAGAGACCTTACAACTGTTAGATGAGCTACTCGGTGGCAGTTTTAGCAGCAAATCCCATTTTCTCATGTTTGTTTCCAAAGCTTCTACCTAAGCACTGTGCCACAACCATCAGCAAGGCCAAGAATAAGAAGACCATGAAACAGAGGCAGACTCCCAGGAAAGGAGAGCCAGAGAGGGACAAGCCGGGAGCTGAGAGTCGCCGGAAGAACCGAAGCCTTGTCACCAAGTGAGGATGGGGTCTCGGGCCAAGGGAGTGCTGCATCAAAGAAGGGAGAAAGTGGAAGAGGGAAGTGATACAGGGAAAAAAATGTAGAAGTGATGGTGAGAAATGGTGGATATGGAAAAGCACTTACATGGGAAAGTCTATTTGCTTTTGAAGTCAGCATTGATATAGGCTGAGTATCCCTAGAAGATGAAAGGGGTCCAAAGGCCATGACTGACACATCCCACCCAGGTACCCACAGATAGTGCCAGACCCCTAATTAATCCTCATTTTTCTTTCTAGCATGGACAAGCTACATCAACATCTGATGGAACTGGCATTGGCCATGAATCACATACATAGTTTCTCTGTGTTTGAACACACTATCTTCCCTTCTGAGTATCTCAGCGGTCACCTGGAGGCCAGACTCAGCAGGTATCCCTCTTTCCTTGTCTATTTTGGTACAGTACAGTAGTCTGCAACATTGGGCTCCATTTGGTCCGTTCTGGTGGTCATGCCACATGCTGGAGATTCTGATGTAGTCTGTCTGGCATGGGTCCCAAGTACCTCTATGAAAAGCAAATGAAAAGAACCCCTGGTTGCTGTAGGTGGTTTTGATGTACAGCCAGAATTAACCACCCCTGATTTAGTAGAGTGAGTAGAAATTAACAGTCAATAGAACTGTGTTGACATCCAGAGCATGAGAGATGACATTGGAGCCAGAATATCTAGCTTATCTGGGCCAGTTTTCTTTTGTACAAAGTAAGAATAATGATATTTACTTTCTAGATAATTATAAATTACCTGTAATTGAGAATTGGTAGATAATTAAAAATAATAATGAGTGTAAAGTTCCTCACATATAACAGGCTGCTCATTCCCTTGTTCCCTAAAGCAGGAGGAGAACCCCTTATATTGGAATTGGGTACTGTAGTCATCAATTAGGAAATAATTGTGAATAATCCCTTAGTCTTCTGTGTTTTGTCTTGGAATATGTAGTAAATTCATGCATTTATTCAACAAGTATTTATTGAACATCTACTATGTGCCAGGAATATTCTAGAAGCGGTTGATATACTTCAGTATACAAAATAGATAAAAATCCCTGCCCCATGAAATTTAGCTTCTAGGGGGGGAGATAGACAAACAAGAAAGCAGAATAGGTGTTAGATTATGTAGTGATAAATGCTAGTGATTAGAAAGATAAAACAGGAAAAGGAAATGGAAGTATTGTGTTTGTGTAGGGGAGAGTGCTACAGTTTTAGATAGAGTGGCCAAGGAAAGTGTCTTTGAGAAAGTAGCATTTGAGGAAACCCCTGAAGGAATTAAAGAAGCCAGGCATGCAACAAGCATTCTTGGTGGTGGAAATAGCTTGCTCCACTGCTCTGAGGTAGGAATATTCATGGTATATTTGAGGGATGTGGAGGTGGCCAGTGAGGCTGCCGCAGAAGGCCTGTGAGAGGGGGGAGAACCTGAAGTTTGAAGGGGCAGAGGAGGGGCCTGGGCCTGTAAGGACCTGGGCTTTTTATTTGAGCTGGGAGCCTTGGCTAGTTTTGAGCCCAGTGTAATAAGATTTGCCTCCATATTTTGGTCTGGCTGTATTAGCAGGAACAAGGACTTCTAGAAGCAAGGAGACCAGTTATGAGTCTTGAGTTTTGATTCTGGGAGATGCAGACTTATTTTTCAATTAGGCTTTTACTTGAGTGCAGTAAAATTAGTTTGTTTTCATTGCATACACATTAGCTATAGCAGAGGAAGTGTCTCATTTTCATACACAGTGTCGAGAAGATGACAGCATGGTAATGCCCATGGGCACACCTGGAGAAGCTGTGGCGGTTTCCAGGCTCTGGAGATGTAGATGTGATCATCTGATTTTCTCTGAATACCTCTGATTTTTGCTTCATAGACATCATTGTTCCAAAAGGCATAAGGCTGACCTAGGTGTTTGGCCTCAGTGAAAACTTTAAAATACCCTGGGCTTGCCCTTAGTTTGCCCTGTCAAGTGGTACTGGAAAGATCTTTTTCTTTCATGTGGGGAGAAGACTATCCTTCCTCCACGAACATTTTGCCAAAAATGTCAAACAAAAACAAAACATTCCTAAATACCTTGTGGTTTCCAAAGAATCTGAGAAACTCATTTATACTGAAGTGCAAGTGACTGATAAAGGCTGAAAGTGAGATGGTCCTCTTTTCTTCGGGTTTACCTTTTTATAAGGAAGAAAGCCTTAAGTCAGTTGACTAACTCTAATTGTGAAATCTCAGGTACCTGAGGAAGGTATTCTGGAAGGAGTTGGGGGCTGGTGGGGAGGCTCTTTCTGGTGTTCCACCCTGAGGTGGCTGCTTGCCAGCCATGCGTGCTCTGTCCATCCACGGCACCCATGGTCACTGGGGACCCTACTGCCCTTCCAAGGTTTTCTAAGATTAGTTTTCCATTTCTGACAGTAGTTGGAACTAATGCATCCCAAGGAGAAAAGGCAATTATTGGCACTGAGAACACAGGTGGTGTGCGCCCATAAAGTCAAATGAAATTTGGGAGCTCAGGTCTTTTACCAACTGACTTAATTTCTCCAGAGGAGGCAGAAGAACATAGTGGTTAGAGATTAAATGTTATTCGATTCAAGTCCTAGTTCTGCCACTTGCTAGCTATGCAGTCTTCAGCAAATAATTTAGTATTTATATGTCTTAGTTTTGTTACCCATAAAATGGGGATAATATTGTTCCTACATTATTGATTTGCTATAAAGTTTAGCTTAAATACTATGTGTCACAAAATCATAGCTCAGTACCTGGAACACAGGATACACTCAACAATTGCTACTGTGTTTATCACTGTGATTGTAATTATGATTTTTATCACTTAGAGCCATTGTGTGGCTGGCTGGCTACAATACCACGACTCAGGAGATCCTAAGGCCTTCCGAGCTGTTGGCAGGTGTCAAAGCATACATTGGGTTCATACAATCAATGGCCCAATTTTTGGGTGCAGATGTGTGCAGAGTCATCCGCAATGCTCTTCTGCAGCAGACCCAGCCCCTGGACTCTTGTGGGGAGCAGACCATCACCACGCTCTACACAAACTGGTCAGTGCTGCTTGTCCCTCCCTCTGTGTCAGCAGTTTTCTCTTTATGTAGGAGGACATCAGGGCCCAGGCATTTAAGCCTCCAGATCATGGACCTCCAAAGGCTTGTTTCTATTTGAGGATTGGAATAGTAAGCAGGAGGCAAGTCCAGACCTCCTTCTGTCCACTGAGAGGTTTCCTTCTAAACTTCAGTATGACACCCATAAACCTATCCTGCAGCTGCTTAACTTTTTTCCTCTTGATCTCCAGTTCTTAACCTTCCTTTTCTGGATTCTTACTGTTTTAATTTCAAATGACCTTACTTCTTTCCATCTTATTTCTCTTTTTGCCCTAGCTTCTCCCTTTGAGAACCATTCTTTCTATTCCGTTGTCTCCAGAACACTGTCTCCTCATCCCTACCCATGGCCGTGTCGGGTATACTAGATTGTTCCTGACAGGGAAGGGACCTCCTCCCTACAACTGAAAAAGTTTCCTTTGAAATTTATAAGGAATGGAGAGCCAGATTCCTGCCTCCCCAAGCCACTGGGTGGCACCCTTAATCTAATATCTGCTTTGCAAGAGATGTTTCAAAGAGGAACCCCACCCTCCCTCCCCGTGCTCCCTGCCCTCATCCCCAGTAAAGAGGAGCAAAGTTTGCAAATTCAAATGCCAACCAGAATCAGGCAGGTACCATAAAGATGTTGTATGCTAATGAGGACTTTGAGAGGTTGGAGAGGGACTGTCCCTCTCTAAAGGGTACAGCCACCACCTAGCACCATGCCAATGTTGCCCCATGAAATTCTTATTGTTTTATGTAAAATCTCTGTTTCAAAAATTTTACAACTAATTTAAAAAGACAAAAATATGTTTGGCTGCTCAGGTTGGTCCACTGGTGGTTAGCTTGTAATCTCAGTAAAATATAGAGTGAAGCTGGTCCCTGAGTGGCAGGAATTCATCAAACTCTCCTCTGCTGCCACTAGCCAGAGCCCAGCCCTTCCAACATTGCTGAGAAATTAGGAGGGAATGTTTGGAGACCAGATGGCCATTTTTCAGGGGCTTCTCTGCTCAGGAAGTTTGACATGACACTGGCTTCCAGGAGTCTGGATCTTCAGTACAGCATTTTCATTGGAGAAGTTAGGGCTAAGTATTTTTCAGAGGAGCTCCAATTAGTAAGTTATTTTTGTTTGTTTGTTTCTGCTAGGGATTGAATTCAGAGCCTTGTGCATGCTAAGCAGGTGCTCTGCCACCGAGGTGTACACTCTTAGCTCCCAGTAGTATTTTTTTAATCCCATGTTGGTCCTGTCTTACCACCAGAGGGTAAGCATGAGGGAATGGAATTGTTGGAAAAGAGCAGGGGCTGAGGGAAAGGCATAAGAAGCACACACCATTGCATTTGACAGCAGATTAGAGGCAAAGTGAAACTGTATTACTGGTGGGTTTTTTTTTTTTTTTGGTACTGGGGATTGAACTCAGGTCCTTGCGCTTGTGCAGCAGGCAGCGAAAGCACTGAGCTAAATCCCTGGCCACTGGTGGTTGTTTTTGATCCAACTCTTTATGGTGTTAATTAGATCTCTGTATTATCTTGAGTCTTTTCTTCAACCTTGGTCTTTAGTGGAGTTTCTCTTCCCAAGCCCAGTGGTGGTGTAGGGAGCAGTGGCAGGAAGAACAGAGTGGATGCTAATCTATGCTTTCTTGGCCAACCTTGTAGGTACTTGGAGAGTCTGCTCAGGCAGGCGAGCAGTGGGACCATTGTCCTCTCCCCAGCCATGCAGGCCTTCGTCAGCCTCCCCAGAGAGGGTGAGCAGAACTTCAGTGCAGAGGAGTTCTCAGACGTCTCTGGTGAGTTTAGGGCCTGGTCTCCTTGTCAAGGAACTGGGCCTTTCCCCTCAAACAATACCTGTAAATCTTATCTCAGTTATCCTGCTTCCCCAGAGGACCATGATTTATTCTCTTCAGCATCTCTGCAAGAGTCTGCTAGACTTTGTGGACAATAGAAAGAGATTCTAAGCAAGGTCCAGAATTGAAGAGTGGCCTAGGGGATGGAGATGAATAGGGAAAAAAAGAGGAGTTTAGGAGTTAGGCAGTGACACTCAAGTTACTGAGGGAATGTATTTTTCAAAGAGTGGAAAATGATTTTCTCCTTTTCAACTAAGAAGAAAGGTGAAGTATATATAGTTATAGGTAAAGGATAAAGTGTAAGGAGGACATCTCTTGCTTGGAATGACTGAACAGTGGATGTTATGGCATTTTCTTCCTTGGGGATGAATTTTAGAGCCTTAGCCAATATTTTAGATTGCTGATGTTTAATGCTGTAGTAACGACGATGATGAGATAATGAATGACATTCACTGTGAGCCAAGTTTTAAAGGCTTACACATATTAATTCACTTAATCCTCCCAACAGCCTTGAGGTAGATACTTTGTTTTTTGAGACAGGATCTCGTCATGTAGCCCAGGCTGGTCTCAAATTTGCAATCCTCCTGCCTCCTGAATGCTGGGATTACAGGCAGGTATCACCACACCTGGCTCTAGATATTCTTATTATTCTCATTTTTCAGAAGATGACACTAAGTATGGCAAAGTTAAGGTGCTTGCCTAGGTTGATGTATTTATAAATGGTAGAACTGAGATTTTTGACTCAAGACAGACAAACTCCAGAACAGTGCAGGGCTGCCTCCCAGTATATAGAAGTGCTTTTGTGTTGAGGGGATGCAGGTAAAAGGTATGTAGTGAATGAGTTGGGAAGCTGTTTCCTTTTTAAATAGAGCCTGAAATCATACAAATCCATGTTTTTAAAAACAGCACTGGGAATTGAACCCAGGGAGTGCTAAGCTACATCCCCAGTCCTTATTTATTTATAAATTTTGAGATAGTCTCACTACATTGCCCAGTCTAGCTTCTAACTTGTGGTCTGTCTGCCTCAGCCTACCACCAACTGAGTAATTACTACTACCAACTGAGTAATTCATGAACTGTTCTACTTCTTCCTTTTCTCTCTCACCTCCGTTTAATTCATGGGTTGTGCATGGTATCTGGGACAGATAGAAGATGTTCTAGTGACCCTCTTTCCATTTTCCTCCTTATTTGGAGATGTTAAGAAAGCCAGAGAATAGTAGTAACTCGGTTTACACACTTAATTCTTTCCACAATTCTGGTTGCAAACGGAATTCGATGAGAACCAAATCAAATGCAATGGTTAGGTTCTGTTTTCCAGTTCGGCTTCTTTTCTGTCACTTTGACCCCATCAGTAAGTGGTCACCTATCTACCATGGAGGTTTTAGATGTCCCTTTCTCATCAACTCTACCCACAAGCTGTAGGCAGCCTCTAAAATCCACTTTAGGTCTTGCTGACAAGTGACAAGCAGCAGGAGGTAATGCTTGTTCCCCCTTTCACCACCCCCACCCCAATTTCCCTTGATTGCCATGGTGATGGGGCAATGCTACGGTAAAAATAGAAAGATAAAAAGAGAAGGATGCCCAGGGTTACTAGCTGGGAGTAGAGAACACTGGAGTAGGGAGGTTCTGCAGATCCACACCAGCAGATCAGTGTGCCTTCTCTCCGTCAGCCCCAGAGAAGGCAATTCCGCCCCTCTTCCCCTCTGTCAGCCATCTTAGTGTTATCTAAATTGACCAGCTAGGAAACCCTACTATAATTCTCAGCTCAGTTTTTTCTGTTGAAGATAGACAACTCTGAAAATGTGTAGTGTCTCCTTTGGGCAAAGCTCTGTGTCAGCTGCTGTGACGAGGTCCGCTTCCTGTGTCGTTGGTGGAGGTGAAGGTCGACTGGTCCTGCCTTCAGATACCTGAGTGTGGAGCCTTGGCTTTCTTTTCTTTATGTACTCTGATGAATGATATTCAACTTGTCTTTTTTCTACTGGTCTTTCGTCATTGTTACTTCTGGTCTTTTATGTTTTCCCCTGCTAGGATGGCCCATAGGCAAAGATCATAGCTACAGCTCCCTCCTATCTGAATTGGTCACTAGCATTTCCCACATGAAATTTCTACAAGCACGTTTTATTTAATTCACCAAGGTAAGAGCAGGGTGAGTGGGAAGGGATAAGGCATTGAGGAACACTAAATTTAGAGGAAAAAATAGTTTAGAGGAAAAAAAACCAAGGCTCTGGAGACATGTGTTGATTATGAAAACAGAAAAGTTAGCTCAAGAAGAGGAAAAGTTGGATAATAAGGTGTTAAATAAGGGAGGCATACCAAATTCCAGGCCCTAGATAGGGAAGGAGTTGTCTCTGCAGAGACGGGCTTTGCAGTGCAGAGACAGGAAGGCATTGCATTGGCTTTCTGGACCCCAATGTGATTAAGTGACCTAGTCTGTGAAACCATGATGAAATGCCAGTTCCCCAAGCAGATGGCTACTGACAGCCATCATAATAAGAATCCCTTATTCATATACATCCTTATAGTTTTCTAAGGTTTTTATAATGTATCTAACTCTCACATCAGTTTTATGAGGAGCTCATGGAAGATACTAATTTCTTCATTTAGAAGCAGGCTCAGGGAGGTTCAGTGACTTGTTTGAGGTTGACGGCCTAACAAGGGAAGTACAGGTAGGACAGCAAGAGGAGCAAGCAGGAGCTACAAATTCTTATAAGAAAACTAATAGTTATCGTTTATGGTTAAGTCTTGGTTTGCGTTCTGGTGGGAAGAGGTAGGTCATCCCATGGACAGGCCAGACCTGTCATCTGAATATAGGATTTTAGACCATTTTTTGCTCCTTGACTTTCCACTTCCTTTCCTTGGTGGACAACATTTTGTTGATTGATTGATGGACTGATTGATACTGGGATTGAACCCAGGGCCTTCACACTGAGCTACATCCCCAGCCCTTTAAATAATATTTTTTAAAAATTCTTTTTTTTAAAAATTCTGAACTCCTTCTGTTTTATTTATTTATTTATTTATTTATTTATTTATTTATTGGTACCAGGGATCGAACTTGGGTCCTTGGACTTGTGCAGCAGGTGGTGAAACCACTGAGCTAAATCCTTGGCCTGTTTTTTAAAATTCTGAGACAGGGTCTTATTAAGTTGCTAATTTTCCCAGCTGAGCTTGAAATTTGTAATCTTCCTGCCTCAGCCTCCCATAGTGCTGGGATTCTAGGCATGAGCTACCATGCCTGGCTGGACATTTTAAATGTTCAAATTATCCTCAAGCTGTGGTACAAATGCTCCAGTATGCTCTGAGTCTCACCTGGGACCTCTGAAACTCTATTCCAGAGATGCGGGCCTTGGCTGAACTCCTGGGTCCCTATGGCATGAAGTTCCTGAGTGAAAACCTGATGTGGCATGTGACCTCTCAGATTGTGGAGCTGAAGGTACTGTGGACCCCGCCCCCTCAAAAAAAAAAAATCATCCTGCCTTGGGGACAGGGGTAGGTGAAGGAGACTGAGGGGAAGAAAGAACATTTGGCCCCTTTTTTCCTACTTAATGTCTCTGTGTTCCTGAGCTGCAGAAACTGGTAGTGGAAAACATGGATACACTTGTTCAGATCAGATCCAACTTTAGCAAGCCAGACTTGATGGCGTCTCTGCTGCCCCAGCTGACAGGTAAACATCTTCTCCTCAGTCAGGAAGGACTATGGGAACAGCATTGTGAACAGCAGGGTTTTTCAGGGATCTGGGGGTTCAAACCTTCGCTATTCTCATAGGTTCTCTTCTCTAACAACCTTCTTTCTCCTCAGGGGCTGAGAATGTGCTGAAGCGGATGACCATCATTGGAGTGATCCTCAGTTTTAGGGCCATGGCCCAAGATGGACTTCGAGAGGTGAGTAGGAGGGAACTGCTAGAGAATCACAGTCACCTCTGTGGTAGGATTTGTGAGAGAAGTTTGTGGAAGGGGTTGGTGAGCACTGAATATAAGCCACTTAGCTTGGCAGGGGTCCTGGAAAAATCCTTGTGGAGAGATGAGCTTAGGAAACCAGATGCATAAGGAGGACAGCTTAGAAAGCTGGCTAGGCTCTTCTCTAAGTCAAGACCCCTTTCCTGTTTGTTTCCACCTGTTTTTAGAGATGTTGGCTTCTGTGCTGTGTCCTGTTCACTCATCTTCTTTTCTTCCAGGTTTTCTCCTCTCACTGCCCGTTTCTCATGAGTCCCATTGAGTGCCTGAAGGAGTTTGTCACTCCAGACACAGACATCAAGGTAGGGGTGAACAGTGGAACCCAGCCAGGAGGCTTTTGCTGTGGGGAGAGGATGTAGCTGGGATCTTGTAAGGGAGAGAGTAGTCTAAAGAACACTGCAGGGATAAGGGCCTGGATTCAAACAGGAAAACTAGTTGGGAGTGCTTTTTAGGGGAGAGACAGGGCAGAGTTGGGGAGACCTGGGGGTGCAGAAAGAAGTGGGAGCCCTGTGGGAATCAGAGAAATATTCTGAAGGGAAAGGGGTGAGATCTAGGATGGTGGATCTAGGATAAGTTTTCACTTGAAATGAGCAATATGCAGATTAGATACCGAGCTTGGACAATTTGTAAGATTTGGTTCTTTGATTCATATCTGCCCTCCCTGCCTTCAGAGTTTTCTTTTTTTTTCCTGGCCTTTTTTCCCTCCCAGTTCTTAAACTTTCTCCCCACTCCCTGCCCCATGTCTGTGTCACCTGTCTCAGGTCCCCCCCAACAGAGGAAGAAGGGCTTCTTTAGACACATGAATTAAATGTCCATTCCCCACCCTATTCCACCCTGTCCCAGTCAGCCTGTCTTTTGAGTCATCTAGAGTAAATGAATGTGTCATGCAGGAAATGCAGTTGAAGCCTGGGGACAATGTCCTTCCAACACAAAGAAGAGGCTACTTCTCTTATAATTGATCCTTTTAAAGGAAAGAGTTCAGATACAAGGGAACTGGTGAGCAGGAAGAATTAAAATTGGATGTTAAGAAAAATGTACTTACTTTGGGATCAGAAAAGTTATGAACTTTCCCCTCTGTCTTTCTGAAATCACCTGGGGGTCACCTGGCCATGAGGGCAGCGAGGGGCAATGCCTCACCGCTAGGCTGCTCCTCCTGAATGCTCTTTGCTTTTGCACTGAGCCTGGGTTTCTGGCAGCTGCTGCTGTTGGGGCTGACTGCTCCAGCTGTCAAGAGCTTGTCTACCTGGCATCTGTTTGGCAGCTCGGACCTTTAGGCTCTGCTTGCCTGTGAAAATCAGCAGGTAGGGGCAGAGAAGGGGATTACCCGTCCATCAGGGCTTCTGTTACAGCTTCAGAGGCCTGATAAGATTAGAAGAGAAAAATGAGACCCCAGTCAACATTCTTTTCTTCCTCTAGGAAACCACAGATCACTGATCTGCTTGACCATGGCTGTGACAAACAGGGTCATCTGGGTCATAGGGGATTTAAATAAAGGGCAGAGCAGAAGATGGCTGAGATTTGGCTTCAGTGTCAGTTCTGTGGGCAAAGTGTGTGTATATTATAATGTCTGTGGGGATTTTGGCATAAAGATGTGTTACATAGTTGTCCACTATTGAAACAATTATTCTGGTTATTTCAGGACACTTTAAAAGTATTTTTTTCTTAAACCCCAAAAGGAGTTTAAGTACTTGGTGTGGGAGTAGGGGGTGGGTCCTGTGTCTTGGGAACTTGATTCTAAGTACAATGAATGATTCAGGTATCAATCAATCAATCTTTATTTAATGCCTTCTATGTGCTTAACACGGTGTTGAACTGCTAGAGAGGTTAAAGAAAAAGCACAGTTCCTGGCTCTAAGGTAAAGGAAGAGGAGGAAAAGGTGTCATGTGTGCTGTTAGTCACTAGGCCAGGTGCTTTACTCCCATGGTCTAATTTAATCTTCACAACAATTCTGTGAGGTAAGTAGTAGTATTCCGGTTTTATGGATGAGAAAACTGAGGCTCAAAGTGGTTGAGTAACTTTTAGCCAAACCTTTGTTTTTCTTTTTTTTTTTTTTTTTATATCGGGGATCAAACTCAAGACCTTGTGCTTGTGAGGGAGGCATGGTGCCACTAAGCTAAATCCCCAGCCCTAAAGTTACATTTTTAGTAAGCAGTATTGCTAAGATTTGAGCCCAGATCTCTCCCTCTCTACCAATCTGCCTTCACTTTTTACTATGCCGGGAGTTTAAGCATTTTAGTCCATTTGGTGAGATAAGTCATGTGTGTCCCCTTCTCTCTGAAGAGATAACAAATACCAGGTGCTGTGTGTGACTCATGCTAGGTCAGTAGTACCAATTTGGGTTGGAATAGAAGGGTTCAGGCCTAAGCAGCCAGAGAGCACTTCACAGATGAGATGAAATTTGGGTTAAGGAAAAGGGCTGCTGTCTCATGCAGGTATAAGTAGAGGAAAGGAAGGGATAGTACAGCAAGGGATGGATGAACTGAAGTATGAAAGAAAGAAAGTTGTATTTAGGGACAGTAGATAAATTACCCTGGCTGCATTGACTGAATAAAGCACTTAGAGAAATAAGGTTGAAAAGTAAATTTGTACTGTGGCATGTCCTGAATGCCATTCTAAAGAATGTGGTTTTTTGTTTTTTCCTCCTGCAGGCTAGGAAGAGCTATAAAAGGAATATCTAGAAAAATTGATAACACACCAAAAGTTTAAAATTTTTGATCCAAAAATTGCATATAGAGGCAAATGCCTACAATACCAGCATTCTGGGAGGCTGAGGCAGGAGGTTTGCAAGTTTGAACCCAGCCTGGGGAACTTAAGAGACTTAGCAAGACCCTACCTCAAAATAAAAATTTAAAAAGGGGGTTGGGAATATAGCTCACTGTGAAGAATCTGGGTTTAATCCCCAGTATTGGGGGAAAAATTTTGGTGATCCTTGAATCCTGCTGCTTATAGCTTCTGGTAAGCACTTTTCTCCTGGGATTCCTCTCAAGAATGCTGTTTCCTTTTCTGCCAGGTAACCCTGAGTGTCTTTGAGCTGGCATCTGCTGCAGGGGTGGGCTGTGACATTGACCCAGCTCTGGTGGCTGCCATTGCCAATCTGAAAGCTGGTAAGACAGGGGCAAGGGAGTAAGGAGGGCTTGTGCCCTACTTTTGGGTGGGAAATGTCAATGTAATTATGAATTTGGAGGATATAAGCTGGGAGGTAGGAAAGATTTAAAGTATAGACCCTAACCTCCAGAAAATACTTACATAGACGACTGAGGTCCCTCCTCAGGTTCCAACCAGTTGATCTACCAGTCAGCTAAATAGTTCTCAGTGAGTCTGTTTGATGCTCAGCAAGTTCTCAAAGGTATATATAATTGGGCTGGGGAGATGATATTAATCCAAATGAATCAATGAGAGAACACTTCAAAATAGTATATGATTTCATGCTAAGTTGTGTGGTATAGTATCTAAGTTCCCCACGGTGATCTTGTGCTCTTCCCTCCCACATAATCACTTTGACACTATCCACTCCTTCTCTGATCTCGTGCTTGTCTCTTATATTTCCCATGACACAGTTCCTATGATTAGCATGTTCGTACTTAACATACCCAGAAGAGAATACAACTGAGGGACTGGCATTAAGCCCTTTCAAAATTACAAGACACACCCCTTTCCTTCTGTCTTGGTTGGTGAGACTCTTTGCTCACCTTTTTGCTTCTCTAGCCCTTCAGGCCTCTGACAGATGTCTTAGAGCCCTTGGCTAAGAGTCCTGCCTTTCGCAAGGGAGGCCTCCAAGACTCAGGCTGTCCCTATATGTGGATGCCAGTCTTGTCTCCTTCAGTAATAATAATTTGCCTGCAGTGCTTGATAAAGTGTGTCCATCAATATTTTCTCGTGTGAACATAATTCTGTACAATGGGATTCCTGCGAAGACAACCTGTTTGCTGACCTTTGTCACTTCTCTTTTTTCCCTCTCACCAGATAACTCATCCCCTGAAGAGGAATACAAGCTGGCCTGTCTGCTCTTGATCTTTCTTGCTGTTTCCCTCCCTCTCCTTGCCACTGACCCTTCTTCTTTCTATAGCATTGAGAAAGACGGTAAGTAAGGAGGAGCTTTGAGGACCAGTGCTGTCTAAGTTAGTGTCCTGGAGTGGAGTTGAGACAAATGAGACACAGACACTTACCTGAAATATACAGAGTTCTGATTCAGGTGTAAATTTCTGTTTCAAAAAGCACCTGAGCGGGCTAGGGATTTAGCTCAGTGGTTCTACCACCTGCCTCGCAAGCGCAAGGTCTCCCTATATATTTTTGATTGTCATCTCTTCCTCTTAGGTTGTTCTCTTTTGAAAGATGTAGTGACCTTCATTATCTCTCTTAATTAGTCTGGTTTGAAATCCAGCTTGTCAGCAAATAGTATAACTACTCCTGCTTTTTTTTCAGGTTCCTGTTGCATGGAGTATTGTTTTCCACCCTTTGATTTTCAGTCTATGAGTTTCTTTTTGAATTAAGTGTGTGAGTTCGATCCCTGGTACCAAAAACAAAAAACAAAAAGCACCTGAGCTGGGGGTGTCTGCACATGCCTGTAATCCCAGCACTCTAGAGGCTGAGGCAGAAGAATCATGAATTTGAGGCCATCCTGGGTTATTTAACAGACTCTGTCTCAAACAACAACACAAAAAACAAAAAGCACTCAGGAGTGAACAATGAAATTTTATTCTAGTCAAATAAATGTCAGACTATCCTTCCTCTAACCCCCAACTGTCTTTTAGTCCTTTTGGTGTCATATAGGAGAGGCCCAGATTGAAAATATGAGAAATTACCACTTGAGGTCAGGCTGGGGTGGCTCACTTTGTCATTTCCTTTGTGTCACTGCCTCTCTATCCATAATAACCTAGGTTATAACAACAACATCCACTGCTTGACCAAGGCCATCATCCAGGTGTCTGCTGCTCTTTTCACGCTCTACAACAAGAACATTGAAACTCACCTCAAGGAGTTTCTGGTGGTAAGTAGTTCTAGGTTGTAAGGAATGGGAGATTATCAAGGGGTAGAATTTGTTTGAAGTTCATAGATAGTTATTGGTAAACAGGCTTTCGAGTCTAACTTCCTACCTGATTCATTCAGGAAATAGTGAAAGGCTACTATTGAAAAGGCAGGAGTTTGTTCTAAATTCCCCCAACAGGTGGAGGATACTAGGAAAGATTTCTGGACAGAGTAAGATAATCTGAATTCTACCACTACAAAGTTGTGTGACTTCTAAAGACCAACACTTGTGGAGTCTTAGTTTTCTTACCTATAAATCAGGGAGATTATACTGAACCTATGACCCAGTACCTTGGTCCATAAGGACATCCTTGGGCGCTTGTTAAAATAAAGGTTTCTGATCTTTACCCCAGAACTACTGAATTGGAACATTCTAGGTTGAGGCCAGGCATCTGTGTTGCTGATTTGATTTCCATGAGATCAAATGCACATTAAAGTTGTAGAAATGCTATTTTATAGTCTATACGTCCCTTTCTAACTCTGTACTGACAAGCTATCAATGACTGGTTTTCAGACTTTATTGTAAGTCAGAATCACCTGAAGAATTTGCATTTCTTTACATTTTCCCTGGCTAATGTTGCTGTTCTTTGTTTTGGGTTCTTACTTTGAGAACCATTGTTCTAGATTTCTAGGGATTGGAGTTTACAGTCAGGCAGTGAATTCTACGGTAGGTCATGTTCAGTTTGTTTGAAAAACTGCTTAAGAAATGTTTTTAGCCAAAGTTTGACTCCCTGTAACTATCACTATTGATCTTAGTTTTGCCTCTGGAAAAACACAAAATAAATAATCTCCTTCCTTAGTTGAAAGAGACTCTAGAGTTTCTCATGCTAAATCTTCCTTAGAGGATTCCTATCCACACACTTCTGATATATGGTTCATTGTCTGCTTGCTTGCTTGAGCATTCTCAGTAATAGGGAGCTTCTTTCACCACACATGGTCTTTTTTTGGGGGGGTTTCGGGGATCGAACTCAGGACCTTGTGCTTGTGAGGCAGGTGGTAGAACCACTGAGCTAAATCCCTGGCCTATGCATAGTCTTAATTTCAGAACTAGTGGTGCACTTTTCTCTTTCCAGAAGGAAATAGTGACCTCATTGTTCTTTCAGGAATTATGTCTTTGTCCTGAGAAGTACATGTCAGAGGCCCTAGATTGGTTAGAGGGTCTTTGTTTAAGCTGGGACAGCCAACCAGACAAAATGGGCTCTGAGCATCTTACATGTAAAGAGGATTCATATCAGATCTCCAAGATGGGAAGAGAAGGGAATTTTCTCCCCTCCTTTTCCCTTTTCACCTATTTGTTTGCTAAATGCAGGTAGCCTGGGCCTGGGATGTGACTCAGTTCTTCCTCCCTCTTTGATCTGTTGGGGGCCTGGAGGTAAATGGAGATGACAGCCACTTGGGAGTTGACGGGAGGAGAATACCAAGAGCACTGGGTCTGAATCAGAGGCTCTGCTCTGGCTCAGCTGTAAACAGCCTGATGACAGAGGTGTCTGGAGCCTGCCTTGGAAGAGACATTAATCTCTGGGCACACAGCAACATCAGCCTTTATTCTAGGTTCTTCACTTGCCTTTGCCCCATTACCTCCAGCCCCCTCAGCAAGCTCCTGCTGTCTTCACAGGCAGGCCAAGGGAATCCAGGCTGTTTTATAGGCCACTTGTGCCTCTGAAACCTAGGGGACTTGCCACTCTTCCACCCTGAGCCCTCAGGACATCCCAGCACTCCCCCCCCCCTTAACTTTATTGGTACATTTTAGGTATAAAATACAGTGACATTCATCATTGGGATCTTGTACCATTACATGAGTCTCTTGGTTCTTAT